GTGTGTGTGTGTGAGAGAGAGCCTCTGTGTGTGTGTGAAAGCCTGTGTGTGTGTGTGAGCCTGTGTGTGTGTGTGAGAGAGCCTCTGTGAGTGTGTGTGTGTGAGAGAGCCTGTGTGTGTGTGAGCCTGTGTGTGTGAGAGCCTCTGTGTGTGTGTGAGAGCCTCTGTGTGTGTGAGAGCCTGTGTGTGTGTGAGAGCCTGTGTGTGTGTGAGAGCCTGTGTGTGTGTGTGTGTGAGAGAGCCTGTGTGTGTGTGAGAGCCTGTGCGTGTGTGAGCCTGTGTGTGTGTGAGAGCCTGTGTGTGTGTGAGCCTGTGTGTGTGTGAGAGCCTGTGTGTGTGTGAGAGCCTGTGTGTGTGTGTGTGAGAGCCTGTGTGTGTGTGTGAGAGCCTGTGTGTGTGTGTGTGTGTGTGAGCCTGTGTGTGTGTGTGAGAGCCTGTGTGTGTGTGAGAGAGAGCCTCTGTGTGTGTGTGTGTGAGAGCCTGTGTGTGTGTGTGTGAGAGCCTCTGTGTGTGTGTGAGAGCCTCTGTGTGTGTGTACGAGAGCCTCTGTGTGTGTGAGAGCCTCTGTGTGTGTGTGAGAGTCTGTGTGTGTGTGAGTCTGTGTGTGTGTGAGAGCCTGTGTGTGTGTGTGAGAGCCTGTGTGTGTGTGTGTGAGAGCCTGTGTGTGTGTGAGAGCCTGTGTGTGTGTGAGAGCCTGTGTGTGTGTGTGAGAGCCTCTGTGTGTGTGTGAGCCTGTGTGTGTGTGTGAGAGCCTCTGTGTGTGTGTGAGCCTGTGTGTGTGAGAGCCTGTGTGTGTGTGAGAGAGCCTGTGTGCGTGTGTGAGAGAGCCTCTGTGTGTGTGTGTGTGAGCCTGTGTGTGTGTGTGTGAGAGCCTGTGTGTGTGTGTGAGAGCCTGTGTGTGTGTGAGAGCCTGTGTGTGTGTGCGAGAGCCTCTGTGTGTGTGAGAGCCTGTGTGTGTGTGTGTGTGAGAGCCTGTGTGTGTGTGAGAGCCTGTGTGTGTGAGAGCCTGTGTGTGTGTGAGAGGCTGTGTGTGTGTGAGCCTGTGTGTGTGTGAGAGCCTGTGTGTGTGTGAGAGCCTGTGTGTGTGTGTGAGAGCCTGTGTGTGTGTGTGAGAGCCTGTGTGTGTGTGTGTGTGAGCCTGTGTGTGTGTGTGTGAGAGCCTGTGTGTGTGTGAGAGAGAGCCTCTGTGTGTGTGTGTGTGAGAGCCTGTGTGTGTGTGTGAGAGCCTCTGTGTGTGTGTGAGAGCCTCTGTGTGTGTGTACGAGAGCCTCTGTGTGTGTGAGAGCCTCTGTGTGTGTGTGAGAGTCTGTGTGTGTGTGAGTCTGTGTGTGTGTGAGAGCCTGTGTGTGTGTGAGAGCCTGTGTGTGTGTGTGAGAGCCTGTGTGTGTGTGAGAGCCTGTGTGTGTGTGAGAGAGCCTGTGTGTGTGTGAGAGCCTCTGTGTGTGTGTGAGCCTGTGTGTGTGTGTGAGAGCCTGTGTGTGTGTGAGCCTGTGTGTGTGAGAGCCTGTGTGTGTGTGAGAGAGCCTGTGTGCGTGTGTGAGAGAGCCTCTGTGTGTGTGTGTGTGAGCCTGTGTGTGTGTGTGAGAGCCTGTGTGTGTGTGTGAGAGCCTGTGTGTGTGTGAGAGCCTGTGTGTGTGTGCGAGAGCCTCTGTGTGTGTGAGAGCCTGTGTGTGTGTGTGAGAGCCTGTGTGTGTGTGAGAGCCTGTGTGTGTGAGAGCCTGTGTGTGTGTGAGAGGCTGTGTGTGTGTGTGTGAGAGCCTGTGTGTGTGTGTGAGAGCCTGTGTGTGTGTGAGAGAGCCTGTGTGTGTGAGAGCCTGTGTGTGTGTGAGAGCCTGTGTGTGTGTGAGAGCCTGTGTGTGTGAGAGCCTGTGTGTGTGTGAGAGCCTGTGTGTGTGTGTGAGAGCCTGTGTGTGTGAGAGCCTGTGTGTGTGTGAGCCTGTGTGTGTGTGTGAGAGCCTGTGTGTGTGTGTGAGAGCCTGTGTGTGTGTGTGAGAGCCTCTGTGTGTGTGTGAGAGAGAGCCTCTGTGTGTGTGTGTGTGAGAGCCTGTGTGTGTGTGAGAGCCTCTGTGTGTGTGTGTGAGAGCCTGTGTGTGTGTGTGTGAGAGCCTGTGTGTGTGTGTGTGAGAGCCTGTGTGTGTGTGAGAGCCTGTGTGTGTGAGAGCCTGTGTGTGTGTGAGAGCCTGTGTGTGTGAGAGCCTGTGTGTGTGTGTGTGAGAGCCTCTGTGTGTGTGTGCGAGAGCCTCTGTGTGTGTGTGAGAGCCTGTGTGTGTGAGAGCCTGTGTGTGTGTGAGAGCCTGTGTGTGTGTGTGAGAGAGCCTGTGTGTGTGTGAGAGCCTGTGTGTGTGTGTGTGTGTGAGAGCCTCTGTGTGTGTGTGTGTGTGTGAGAGAGCCTGTGTGTGTGAGCCTGTGTGTGTGTGTGAGCCTGTGTGTGTGTGTGTGAGAGCCTGTGTGTGTGTGTGTGAGAGCCTGTGTGTGTGAGAGAGCTTGTGTGTGTGTGTGTGTGTGAGAGAGAGCCTCTGTGTGTGTGTGAGAGCCTGTGTGTGTGTGTGTGTGTGTGTGTGTGTGTGTGTGTGTGTGAGAGCCTGTGTGTGTGTGTGTGAGAGCCTGTGTGTGTGGTGGGTGACTGGAAGGGTACATGGATGGACAGACAGGTTAGTGTGCATCCAGCACACGGCAGCTGCAACTGCAAGGGCACTCCTTGGCCAGGACCCCAGAAGGCCCCGTGACCCAAGAGGACAGCCCAGGCACGGGGGAGCCCGTCTGTGGCCCCTGCCTTCCCTCTGATCCTCTCTCCATCCTTACTGTTTGCAGGTGCCGTTCGCAGCATTCTGCTCCTCCTCCCTCCTCCTCCTCCTCCTCCTCCTGTTTGACGTCCACAGGGAGATCCCTGGGCAACCCTGACGTACCATGCAAGGACCCTCCTCAAATAGAAGCTCAGCAGACAGCTGTGCTGGGCCTGACCCTGGGGCCTCCTGAGGCCTCCTGAGGCCCACCGCCCTTCCCTACAGGGAGCTGCCAGGAGAGCCTGCGGGAAGCTACCACTCCTTCCTCTTCCTGTTGGAACACGGATGTGACAGCTGGACTCAGGATCACGTTTAAGGCCCCTTACACATGTTCCCTCAACCTCCAAGTCAGCAGTCAGTGAGGACAAAAGAGAGAGAAGCTGGCTTCGAAGCCCAGGTCTGGGAAGGCCACTGGAGGGGCCACGAGCAGCCCGCCCTCAGGGGCCTACCTCCCCAGGCTCCCAGAGCAGCACTGGCCTGTCCCTGCCCTGCCAGAAGTGCTGTACATCACTCCCACCTGCTCGTGCACCTCAGGAACAGGTTAGTCCCTAGTTCCATTACACAGCAGGGTACACTGAGGTCAGTGTATTGTGTGCCCTGGCACTTGGCTTTCCAAGCTCCCCCCGACAGCCAGTCAGCCTCCTCGGAGTACTTTTCACTCCTGCTCAGCAACCAACAGACAAGTGACAGTGACAGACACCACCCTAGGCACAGAGGCTAAGACCCCTACTGGGTCCCTGAGTCAGGGACTGGGCACGGGAGATGGAGAGGGTCTGCAGCAGGCCACACACAGTCCAGGCCACACAAAGTCCAGGCCACGCATAGTCCAGGCCACATACAGTCCAGGACAGACACAGCCCAGGTCAGACATAGTCCAGGTCACTCACAGTCCAGGCCAGACACAGTCCAGGCCAGACACAGTCCAGGCCACGCACAGTCCAGGCCACGCACAGCCCAGGCCACGCATAGTCCAGGCCACGCATAGTCCAGGCCACATACAGTCCAGGACAGACACAGCCCAGGTCAGACACAGTCCAGGTCACTCACAGTCCAGGCCAGACACAGTCCAGGCCAGACACAGTCCAGGCCACGCACAGTCCAGGCCACGCACAGCCCAGGCCACGCATAGTCCAGGCCACGCATAGTCCAGGCCACACACAGTCCAGGCCACACACAGTTCAGGCCACACACAGTCCAGGCCAGACACAGTCCAGGCCACGCACAGTCCAGGCCACACACAGTCCAGGCCAAACACAGTCCAGGCCACTCACACAGTCCAGGCCACGCACAGTCCAGGCCATGCACAGTCCAGGCCACGCACAGTCCAGGCCACGCACAGTCCAGGCCACGCACAGCCCAGGCCACGCATAGTCCAGGCCACACACAGTCCAGGTCACACACAGTCCAGGCCAGACACAGTCCAGGCCACACACAGTCCAGGCCACGCACAGTCCAGGCCACGCACAGTCCAGGCCAGACACAGCCCAGGCCACACACAGTCCAGGTCACACACAGCCCAGGCCAGTCACAGCCCAGGCCACGCACAGCCCAGGCCACGCATAGTCCAGGCCACGCACAGCCCAGGCCATGCATAATCCAGGACAGACACAGCCCAGGTCAGACACAGCCCATGCCCTGCACAGCCCAGTGGTTTCTAAATGTCTGCTTGGGTCCCAAGAAACTCAATCTACATGGTGACCTGGGACATGTGGGATGCCTGGTGTGTGTCCAAACCATTCACAACCGTGCACATATCTCCCTTGGTGGCTCAGGGACACACAGGCAGATGTGGGCTGCTGCCTTTCCTGTTCTACTCTGCTGTGGAAATCCTGGATGGGGAGATGACCAACAGACAAGGGGCTTCCAACAGCTGGGCCCCCAGCACATGTGTCAGCACAGTGCACCCCAACTGTGTGCACACAGCAAGACGGGTGCATGTGTGTGCGCCATGCACAGGCAACACAGAAACAGGCTGACTTCACATATACAAACAAGACAGGGACTCACACAAGCCAACCACGCCCCCAGCTCCTCCTGGCACAGGAAAGACCCTGCAAGTGACCCTGCAGCCCACTGACCTGGTCATTGTCCTCGTGCAGCGCTGGCCGCCCCCTGGAGGGTGACCCTGCAGCACACTGACCTGGTCATTGTCCTCGCGCTCACAGGCCACGTGCAGCACTGGCCACCCCCTGCAAGGTGACCCTGCAGCCCACTGACCTGGTCATTGTCCTCGCGCTCACAGGCCACGTGCAGTGCGGTCCGGCCCCCCTCCTTTGGGAGTGAGGAGGGAGGGAGGTAGTAGGCACTGGGTGGGCCAGGCTCATTGTTGAGTTTCAGGCTTGAGGACAGCAGGTCCAGCTGTGTGTAAACAGAGTCAAGCTGCAGGACCAGCTCCCCAGGTGCCAAGAGACCTGGCATACCCTGGCCACAAGGCTACAGCCCTGCCCACAGCAGCTAGGGTGAGCAAGCTTCCTCCCCAGGCCAGGCCCCTGGAGTGACACCCCACAGAGTGACTCCAGAGGGGGCCACATCCTGGGAACCAGGCAGCCCCAGACAGGTGACAGAGCAGACGCCACCCTGAGAGCCCAGGCCAGAGGTGGTGGTGGTGGTGACGGACAAGACACAGGTGGGCAGCAGGACAGTCCCGGCACTCGGGTCGGACAGGCCATGCCCACACAGCGCTGCCCAGTGGGCACAAGGACCCAAGGAGCACGTCCCTCCCGCGTGGAGGCTGTGGGAAGACAGCACCCCGCAGCAGGGCCGGGGTCACTCCACAACAAGGGCTGCAGCCCAGAGCGAACCAGGACACGCGTGGCACACCCCGCTGGCCCACTCCTCGCACACCCCGCCCACTCCTCACACTCCGCCCACTCCTCACACGCCCCGCCCACTCCTCACACCCCACCCACTCCTCACGCCCACAGCCCACCAGGCTCCTGACCCAGGGACAAGGAGGGGCTGGCAAGGGTCCAGCCTGGCCTGCAAGGGGTCAGCAGCTGGCCCAAGGGAGGGTGGCTGACCCAGGAAGGCCACCAGGCTTTCTCCTGGTGAGCTCAGGACACTGGGGAAATGCTCCCTGTCCATAGACTTCCTGGGTGTGGGAGCTCAGGTCCCCCCCCCCCCAACCCGGTGAGCTGCCTGCTCCTCCAAGCACACATTACTGTGTGTGCTTCCTGGCGGGGCAACAACCCCGAGCTCACTTGCACGGCTGTCGTCACTTCGAGGGAGAGCTGCCCGCACCAGCCCGTGGCCATGCCCTGACCGCATACCTTGCTGGGCTTGTACACGTAGTCCTGGTCAGCCGCCTGAGCGTCCACGTCGGTGATGGAGTGCAGTAACAGCTCGGTGATCCTGACGCCCTCCTCCCCAGGCAGGGCAGCGGCAATGTGGAGTGGGGTCAGGGCCCCTAGCTGCAGGCAAATGCGGCTGTGCTGAGACCCCACCCTAGCCTGGCCCACGAGGACACGTGCCCCCACCCACTCCTGTGTGAGACTTCCAGGAGGCCAAGGCAGGCCGTGCCCGGCCGCTCCCCAAGCTCCATGGTGCACATATGTCCAGGTCAAACCCCTGCTCACATCCCTTTCCTGTCCCTGCTGGGCCCTGGTTCTGTCATCACCACAGTCAAGTCATACAGCTGCAGCCCAGCCACCGAGATGTTGGGAGCGGACGGAGTGAGCACCTGAGTCAGGGTCAGGGCAAGGGTCCCCAGCCTGATGCCAGCCCAGCGCTTCAACATGGATGCCCCCTCCAGGAATGGGCAAGAGCCACTGGGGAGCCAAGACACAGGAGGCGTGCCCTCTGGGGGCACAGGGATCTCCATATCCCATCACAAGGGAGGCCGTGGCCAGCAGCTCCCCACCACATGCATGGGTACAGCCAGGGGCAGCTTAGCAATAAAGCAGGAGCTGGCACCATGAGAGGCAACCAGCCAGCACACAGGAGCCTGGAGTCCTAGAGTGCAGCAGAGCAAGCAGCCCATGGCTCCACAGGGCCAGCCCATAGCCCAGCAAGGCCAAGACAACATCAAACGGGACAAGATCCGGCAAAGTCTCCAGTTGCCTGGCTTTAGCCACTTCCATGGCAACAGAAGCTGAGCTCCCTAAAGCCCAGGGGCTTGCCGTGTGGGCAACAGGTGAAACCTGCACCTGTAATGGCAGCATCCCTCAGGGAACACTGGTGCAGCTCCCTGCTCATGATCCTGGGAGGGCCACAGCAGACCGAGGGCCACAGCAGACCGTGGGCCATAGCAGACCATGGGCCACAGCAGACCGCGGGCCATAGCAGACAGCCTGGGTCAGATAGAAGGTAGGAGGGAGAGAGAAAGTGTGTGTGTGTGTGTGTGTGTGTGTGTGTGTGTGTGTGTGTGTGTGTTGCTTTGAGGGCTGCAGTAGACAGCCTAGATCAGAGAGAAGGTGGGGGTGGTGTGTGCGTGTGTGTGTAAGGTGGGCGTGGCGTGTGTGTATGGACAGGGTGTGTGTAAGGTAAGGGTGTGTGTGTGTAAGGTAGGGTGTGTGAAAGGTAGGGGTGTGTGTGTGTAAGGTAGGGGTGTGTGTAAGGTAGGGGTGTATGTGTGTGTGTAAAGTAGGTATGTGTGTAAGAGGTGGGTGTGTGTAAGGTAGGGTGTGTGTGTGTGTAAGGCAGGGGTGTATGTGTGTGTGTAAGGTAGGTATGTGTGTAAGAGGTGGGGTGTGTGTAAGGTAGGGGTGTATGTGTGTGTGTAAAGTAGGTATGTGTGTAAGAGGTGGGGTGTGTGTAAGGTAGGGGTGTGTGTGTATAAGGTAGGGGTGTGTGTACGGTAGGGGTGTGTGTAAGGTAGGGGTTTGTGTAAGGTAGGGGTGTGTGTAAGGTAGGGGTGTGTGTGTGTGTAAGGTAGGGGTGTGTGTGCTGCTTTGAGGACCACAGCAGACGGCCTGGGTCAGATAGAATAGAAGGGTGCGTGTGTATTGAGTCTTGTATCTGCTGCTTTGCCTTTCAAATAAATAAAATACATCCTTAAAGAAAACAGCCACACATGCGGCATCCCACAAGGGCGCCGGTTCTTGTCCCGGCGGCTCCACTTTCCATCCAGCTCCCTGCTTGTGGCCTGGGAAAGCAGTCAAGGACAACCCAAAGCCCTGGGACCCTGCACCTGCATGGGGGACCCAGAGGGAGCCCCTGGCTTCTGGTTTTGGAATGGCTCAGCCACAGCCATTACAGCCATTTGGGGAGTAAACCAGCAGATGAAAGATCTTTCTGTTTCTCCTCCACTCTGTAAATCTGCCTTTCAAATAGATACAAAATAAATCTCTAAAAAACAAAAACAAACAAAACAAGACTCAGCTGGAGAGTGAAATGGCAGAGGATTAAGTGGAGGGCATTTCCCAAGACAGGGTCCCCACAGAGCAGCCAGCCACGGCCCAGAACTCCAGGACGTGCGAAGCAGTAGCCCCAGACGGGCAGCAGAAAGGACAGTGGAAATACAAGAGAACAGACCCGAAGCTCCAACCTGGCATGCATAAGAATGAGGGGAGGAATTCCACGGCCCCGGGCCGGTCAGCTCCCACGACATCGTGAGGCAGCCCCTGGGTTCTCAGAGCCCGGGACACTGGCTGGCCCCTTGCAGTCCACCAGAGAGACTCGTGCACTGAAGGATGCAGTCCCTGCTGCAGACACACTCTGCAAGATGAGGGACACGCCGTGCAGAGCACAAACGGAGCCCAGAGGGGCCAGGAGGAGCAAATATGAAACTCCAAGAAGACTGTAGAACATTCTAGAGGCATGGACTCTGGGGCTGCTAGCTCTGCCCCTCCCCCTGCTGTGGCCCTGATTCCAGTGTGATCCCATGCAGTGCAAATTCACAGCCAGATGCCAGGGAAAAGGTGGTTCTGCCCCAGCTGGACCCTGCCCTCCCCAAAGCTGGGGCGTGGGCATGTGGACACGCTGGCGATGTAGCTGGACTGAGGCCAGGCCTGTGGGGGAGCAAGGGTTCACGCTTGGCACTCACTTTCAACAAGGGCAGCTTGAAAGGAAAGTGCATAACCAGGGCATGCCCACGCAGGGTGATGCTCAGATGAGTTCAAAGGGTGTGACCTCATCGTGTCAAAGGCAGTGCTCCACAGGCGAGCAGTCAGATTCTGCTCCACCATGGAGAAGATGGAGGGCAGGAAGACACAGCAGAACAAGGGGGCCTGGATTGGGCTGCCCTGCCCAGCGGACGTGGGCACAAGTCACCTGCAGGACAAGAGGTCTCAGGGCACTGCCCCTCTGGGCGAAAGAGGTGACCACCCAACCACCGGGCGGTGTCCACATGAGATGCCCACACCATCTTAGCACACCATCAGGCTTTGGGGGACCCAGTGTGATTCTATTGAATTCTACCCTGCAGCTGGACACATGTGGCTGCTCCCGACCCCATAGCCCTGGTTACTCCCGAGCAGGCTGACAGATCCTCTGAGCTTACAGCTGTGGCAGTTCTGATCTGGATCTTCTGTCACAAAAGGACAGTCTGGCAAGACGATAACACCACAGCAACAACGAATAGCCAGGCAACTGATGAGGTCACGGCAACCAGTGATGCCATGGCGACAGATAATGTTTCAGCAAGCAATGATGCCACAGTGGCAACCAATGACGCCATGGCGACCGAAGGCACCATAGCAGCCATGACGCCTCAACAGGCAATGGTGCCACAGCCACAGTCGGCCTGTGCTCAAGTAAAGAAAATGTGGGTATGTGCTGTAGGCCCACACGTCCTCGCACCCTGTTCCTGGGCAGCCTCACAGGAGCTGCACCTTGCTTCAGCCTCCTCCGAGAGGAGGGAGCCCAGCAGAGTCAGGGACAGTCCAGCGTCCCATGGCCACCCAGTAGCCACACCCAGCCTGGGAGGCCAGCGCAAAGCCTTCTCCTCCCTCCACAGAAGCAAGCTGGATTCGGGTCACTCCATTCACGAGCTGGAGGCAATGAGAAGCTGTTTGCTCCCAGGCAGGTGAGGCTTTGGCACCGGGAATGTCTGGACCAGGCCGCCACCATGGCAGAGAAGACCTGAGGCCTTAGACCAGGCGGTTTCCCTTTACGCTGGAAGCTAGGTACTCTGGGCTGTAGGTACCCCAACGCCAGGCCCGCCCCTCGACCCAAGGAGACACTTAAGGGGGTCACCTGCAGGCAGACACCATGACGTTGCTTCAACATGGCCTCTCACAGCAGTGGGCAGCGGGCACTCAGCCGAGACCCCGGGGGCTGGCAGGCCCCACACTGTGGGCAGAGCCCCAAGGCACAGCCTCTCTGCCCGCCGCCTACCTGCCTGGGGAGCCGGATGTCGGTCCTGGCCCCACTCTCCAGCAGCAGTTTCACGGCGTCCACATCCGCGGCCTTCACGGCCAGGAACAGGACCTGCACAGGCACGTGGCACAGGTTGGGGTCAGCGCCTCGGTGCAGCAGCAGGTTGATGGTCAGCCACCTGTTCCTGTGCCTGCGAGGAGGCAACACTCGGTCACAGTGAGCACAGCTGCCCTTGCCAGATGCCAGGACACCCGCGCCTCAGAGACCCAGGCCCTGCCCAGGGGGCACAGCAGCACAGCCAGCCCTGCTGGTGCCAGCCCAGGGATGGGCAGCGATCGCCCCTTTCAGGGATGGCACTGACACAATGGTGTGCCTGGCCCCAAGCCTGTCAAGGCGTTAGGCCTTGCACGCCACACCGTGACACCCACGTCGTTACACAGTCAGCATAGAACATGGATTACACTACGTACACACACAGCACAGGTTGGCGGCCCGGGTGGAGTGAAGTGGGTGTCCATGGGTAGGTGGAGGGCAAAGGAGAAGGAGGTGGAAGGCTGGGAGAGAGGCACAGGCCGGAGGGCAGCAGGGGCCTGGCCAGTCTGCAGCCCTGGTTCTCCAAAGGTTCCGGGAGCTTCTGCTTGTGTGGGTGCCCCCTGCTGGTGTTGGGGGCCGAGCCAGGCTCAGGCTGACCACCTCTCAGGCCCAGGTGCCATGGGGACCCCAGTGGCCTTGGGGTATAGTGTGTGGAGTTGGTACCCCCCCCCAAAGACTCAGCCAGGGCTTGGCCAGGACCCCAGCATCAGACACCCGGATGCACAAAGGCTGCACACAGCTGGAGGCCAAGGCCTGAGGGGAGAAGGCACAGCATGCGGGTGCCACAGCCCTTACCCTGACACCTGCCTCCAGGAGGAGGAGGCGCAGGGAGCCCCCCAAGGAGGGACCCGCCCGAGACTCACTCGACCACGGACAGCGCCATCTTCCTCACGGTCCCCTTGTCGGGGGTGGGAGCCGCAGGCAGCAGGCTTTGGGCCTGCGCCCCCTTCTCCAGGATGTCCTGTGAGATCTCGATGCAAAAATTGCACACACTCAGGTCAGACTCAAAGTCGCTCCCGTCGCTGTAGAGCGTGTACTTGTCCAGGTTGGGCGACGTCTCCAGCCCTCGGTCGGTGTCGCTGGCGCTGTGTCTCATCAAGGGGTCCTGCCTCTGCTCGCCGCTCGCCAGTGCGGCCTCCGGGGACAGCCCGCAGTCTGCACCCGGGCAGTCCTCAGGCTGCTCGGGCTCCAGCACCAGCGGCACCTCTTCCGTGGGCTCCGCGTCCACGTCAACCAAAGACAGCGTGAAGTTGGGAACACTCTGGGGCTTGGGAGGCTCCTCCAGAGACCAGAGAAAGACGTGAGAATCAGGCAGGGACACGGACATGCCGTCCATATCCGCTTCTGCAAGGACCCACACTCACCGCTAAAGCCCCCGAAGCACCAGGCTGCCAGAGGCTCCCCAGGAGGAGAGGTGCTGCAAGACAGCTGCACAGTCACGTGCCACATGCCCACACGTCCACACGTCCACACGTCCACACGTCCACACGTCCACACGTCCACACGTCCCCTCCCCACACGTCCACACGTCCACACGTCCACACGTCCACACGTCCACACGTCCACACGTCCACACGTCCCCTCCCCACACGCCCTGCTCTGCCACCTCTCTAACTGGCTGCATCACATACCCTGCGTATGTCAGCTCCAGGATGGAACCTGCTTCCCCGACACAGAGCAGCAGCCAGGAGGCAGGCTGACGCAGAGAATCACCAGCACGTGCTTGCTCTCTTCATGCCCACAGCGCCAGGGGCCAGCCGGCATGGCAGTGGCAAGGTGCCAACGATTTAGCCACACCTCTGCTCTCAGTGCATACTAGCAGGGAGCTTCCGTCAGGAGCCACAGCCAGGAGGTGACCCCAGGACGTCCAGGGGGAGCAGGTATGCCAACAGGAGTCACTGTGAGCCCGCTCACCTGCTTCTCTTAAAAATGTCTCGCGACTCATGCAGGTCGGTGACATTTCAGCTAACTGACTCTTTTTTTTTTTGAGAGAGAGAGAATTCTCAAAGTGCAGTCCCGAGGTCAAGGGCATGACTGTCACCAGGAATTCACTGGAAGAGTGTATCCTCAGACCCCACTCCAGGTGCCTTTGTCCCTGTCTCCCCACAGCCCCTTCCACTTCCGCTCTCCAGTGTTGACTTCTGTGCACACGGCTCGCGAGGAATGCAAAGTCCACAACTTCCTCGTCGATGAGCTTCAGACACCTCCCAGAGCACCCAGGCTCCAGCGTTCGGCACATTCCACAAGGCTGTGCCTGCGGACTCACAGTCAAGGGGACTCACCTGGGACTCGGGCAGGATGCTCTCTGGGGACTCACCTGGGGCTCGGGCAGGGTCCTCTCTGGGGACTCACCTGGGGCTCAGGCAGGATGCTCTCTGGGGACTCACCTGGGGCTCAGGCAGGATGCTCTCTGGGGACTCACCTGGGGCTCGGGCAGGGTCCTCTCTGGGGACTCACCTGGGGCTCGGGCAGGGTCCTCTCTGGGGACTCACCTGGGGCTCGGGCAGGGTCCTCTCTGCTATGTTGGGCTTGAAGGACTTGGCCGGGTAGTAGAGCAGAAAGCACATGGTGAGCGGCGTGACGCCCTCATCTGTGCACTTGTTCACGTCGGCCCCAAAGTCCAGAAGGAGGTTGACAACGTCCAGATGACAGTGGATCTGCAGGGAAGGCCCAAGGCCAAGTATGGGGGAAGCAGGCGTGGCCCTCCCTGACCGCAGCATGCCACAGGCAGGAGTCGGCGGGGCTGAGGTGCTTACAGCAGCTGCAGCTAGCACGGTGTAGCCCTTGGCATCGGCCACATCAGCACTGGCAAGGTTGTCCTTCAGTATCCCAGCAATCCAGTCACGGTCCCCCTCCTCAGCCTTCAGCACCATCTCCCTGGAGAGCCGCTCCTTGGGCCCACACTGCGCAAAGCCACTGCGGTTCCCCTGCAGGATGGCACCCATGTTCCAGCTGGTATGTGCCTTCTTGTTCCTGGTGACAGCAGGCTTCGTGAGGGAATGGCCTCCTTTGGCTCCTCCTGCCCTCATCGCTTCAGCCCCTTACTCCCGAGGGCCCCACTTGCTTCCCCCACCAGCCACTCCTGGGGCACCCTAAGCCCCAGTGCCCAGCTGCTGTGGCAATCCAGGGGCATGAGTGGCTGAAGGGAAAGCAGGAATGAGCTGAATGTCAGCTCACCCCATCTCCCCAAGTCACCCCGGTCACTGCTGGTCACCCTGTGCGCCCTGGGAAGCAGAGTCCCAGCTTGGGAAGCCAGCACCTACCTAGGCCCACGATGCGACACCAAGCTCCCACAGCATACAGGTCCACACGTCCCCTCTCCCATTCATCAAAAATCACTGAGGTAACTGTGCATAGAACGCCTACTTCCAACCAAGAACTCGGGGACTAACAGCAATTTCTATAGCCAACAGTCATCAACAATTAAAAGCTCAGCTGATGTTTGCAAGATGAATGTTCATGCAGATAGATGAATAGGTGGATGGATGGAGAGATGGCTGGATGGATGGGAGGATGAATAAATAGACAGGTGGGTGATGTACAGATGGGGGGACAGGTGGGTAGGTGGATGGAAGGTTCTGTGCCATCAGATGAGGATTTATGCAGCTTGAGATGGAACGAGAAAGATGAGACTTGGGAATCTTGGAATGAAAGTTTCCCAGGGTGATGACACATGATAAAGTCTGTGATTAGCAAAGCCAAGCCCACAAGACCATCCTGTGTGATGTCCACCCGCCCGTGGCCTTGACAAAGTGCTGGACATTCACGAGCCAGCAAGCTCAGAGTCTGCACACCGAGGCACATCCTCTCTCTGTTCTGCGAGTCTCCCAGCGGCCCTGAACTCACGTCATCATTAACGCTGACGATGCTCTCCTTGAGAAACGTCCTTTTCTTCAGCTTTCTGGGACAGTGCCTTATGGCTCCCCGCTTTAAATACAGTCTGCCTCTGAGTCTCTTGTCCTTTTTCAACCTGCCACTCCCCCTTCAATCCTGCGCACATGCGTCATGGCAGGTCAGTGGATGGATGGATGCATAGATGTGTCAGTGGATGGGTGGGTGTGTGGGTCTAGTTTGGCCAAGTGGACGGGTGAGTGGATGAATGGAGGGGCACACAGGTGCTTAGCTGGACAGATATGTGGATGGATCGATGTGTGGATTGATGAATGGATGGACAGATGTTTTTGCGGGTAGATGAATGGATAGAATGATGGTTAAACGGAGAGGTGGGTGGATGTGTGAGTGTGCGGGTGCATGGACGGATGGTTGGATGGATACACAGAAGGGTGGATACGTGGGTGGGTGGAGTCGATGGATCAATGAGTGGAGTCGTCACTGGATGGGTGGGCGGAGCCACAGACCTGTAGTTATATGATTGGTTATGCAGATGGAAATACATTCTCTTGCACTCAGAAGGTACCCACTCCAAAACAGTTTAGAGCGCCCAGTAAACTGAAATGCCCAGCTGCTTCCAATCCAGCAGAAGTTAGTGCACACAAGGCTTAAAACTCTGACACTCAGGTGGGAAACCAGGACAGAGTTCCTGGTTCCTGGCTTTTGCCTGGTCCTAACGTGGTGGTGGTAGTCAGAAGGGCAGTGAGCCAGAGGACGGAAGGTATGTCTCTTTGTTCCTCTTTCTCTATAGCTTTGCCTTTCAAATCAAATTTTTAAGTATTTACAAAATAAAACAATCCAGTGGTATCTGAAGACAAAGTTTAAGAAACTTAAAAGTTCCTGAGTACTTTAACTCATAAATTTAAGTTTTCCAAAGGTGTCTGCTGATTTTCCACAATTGTTGGTGGAGTCTGGGGAGCAAAAGATCCATGCTGCCATGGCGTCCTGGGAGCAGCCAGAGGCTCCCAGCCCACACCAGTGCAGCAGCGCCCCGACTGACAGAGCAACCCCGCTCTCCACCACCTGTGTGTGGGCCTGACCACAGACCTGACCACGGGCAGCAAGAGACCCACCCTCAACTCCACTGGGTCAGGAGCACAAGCCACATCCCGTGGTACTCCATGCCAAATTGGCGCCAATCCCAATTTCATGCTCCCCAAGCACCCATCCACCTCTCCCTCCCCATTTCCCTGCCCAGATGGAGTGGCCCCAGGACCCACAGCCCTCTTACACGCAGGAGCCCCACCCCTGCTCACGAGCACAGAGGGGGCGCCTTCCGCCTTGGACCCAGGGCTGCAGCAGTCCCGTAAGCAGACCAGCAGCCCTGGAGAGGTCGAGGGTCTGAGCAGCAGCCAAGGGATGCCTGTCCTGTGAGAGGGGCTTCAGCATAAAGGAGAGAAAACAGAATGTCACCTGAACTTGTAGGCTTGCTTCTGGATTTTGATCAACAAAGGTGTCTCATTGGCTATGAACCAGGGCTCTCCATCCTCCACAAATGGAGGGATATCGCTGAGAAAGATCTGTGTGTCCAGCTCCTTGCGGAAGGAGCTTGTCATGGGCAGGTGGCAGTTGTCAGTTGAGTAGATATACATCTCCAGTGGCAACGTCAGCTCGTCATCCAGGAGGAATCGCTTGTACTCGTAGAGAAAGGGGTCCTGTGCCTGCTGCACGCCCCACTCCTCCCTGCCCTCATCCGAGAGGCTGAGTCTGTCTGGACAGTGCACCAAGAAGCTGGCGAGCTCAGGATGCTGGAGCAGGGAGAAGCCACCGGGGATCTCGGTGCACAGCTTGATGAGGTGCTCACGGAACCACAGCCCGACATCCTGGCTGCCATCGGGGTAGGTCTCCACGCCCGGACCGAACCGTTCGTCAGCTTTGTACAGCCCCTGCAGGAGAAGCTTCAGTGGGACCGAGGGAGAGGACCTGACCAGGCAGCGGGCACTCCACAGGCACTGATTGGCCCTGGGTGCGCCAAGCCCTGGCTCGCCCTTGTGGGGCAGTAAGGCACACGTGCAGCTGCCAGGTGCTCAGTGGGGCAGGTGCAGGCACTGAGAAGGGCAGAGCCAGGAGGGCTACTGCTGGCACACATGAGCCAGAGTGGCCAGGGGTCCTCCGGGTGCAGGGCTCCCTGAGGGACCATCCCAGGACCTTCCCAGAACCGTGACGGCCATAAGCAGGGGCAGCAGTTGGCAGCAGCAGAGAAGACTAACGGCTAGACGCCGGGTGTTTAAGCCTGAGATGACACACAATCTCACAGCTGCCAAGCAGGAACCCTGCACACCTAGGGTGACATCAAGATGCCTGTTCTCAGAAACAAAAGGATCGTCTAAATCTTCCTGCTGAATAGGCCTAGGAGTAACAGCCCACCAACGCCTTAGTGAGGAGTGCCCATGTCATGGTCTGCAAACCACAGAACCAGGCTCGGTGGGACACAACTGAGCCAGGCCTCCTGCTGTTCCATTGTATCCATCTGCAGCAGAGCAGGAGGGAGGGGGCTCTAAGTGAGGGGACTGAGACCTGTGGTATAGAGGGGAGAGACTGGAAGATCTGTACGGGTCAGACTGATTCATCAGCCCACATGGGAGTCCTGAGATGGGCTTGTTAGTGCGGAGCGTCACTGACCACCACATGCCATGCCACATGGAAGCTATGGCTGAGGGCCTGTCAAGCAGAGCTAGATCCCAGTACCCGAGTGTTGGAACAGGGGACAGGTCACATCAGGCAGGGCCATGACACTAACCAGCACACAAGAGAACCAGGCCCGGGGGTAGATTCTGTGGGGGATAAGTGGCCCCACCCTATGGAAATACAAGTCCCACTGGTTAGCTCGAGTTGGGGTGGTGACTGGCTGAACTAGGAGTGAATGTGGAACCTGCCAACACTCGCGTGGACTGGGGCTGAAAACAGGCTGGGCAGGTCCAGGCTGCAGCACTTGCATGTGCATCCTAAAACAGGGTGTAGGGCGGGCCGGCCCGCAACATCCACCAGCTCAAACAAAGACCAAGATGGAGGGGCAGGCTATGCTGGGCAAGGACCTAACACCTGCTGGAGCCTGTGAGATCTGGGTCTGGGAGTGGGCTGAGAGGGGAACCTGGGAGACCCCTACTGGGCCACAGCTCCCACTGGTGAGCACGTGTCTGTTTTTCTTCCTGTTGTTGATTTTGTATTGTGGCTTTTCATTTAAGAGGGATGCATGGTGACTGTGTAATGGAGACTATCAGGTCCTGATGTGAGGATGCAGTGCAGTGTGCATCTCTACTTTCAGATCAAAGATGCACGACTACTGAAACTATTAGCTGTATCTTGACAATAGGATGCTGCATTCTGCCATTGTCCACGCCCACGATGATGAACATGTGACTGTCTATAAAGAGCTATAGTAATGATATAGGGGGATTCGGTGGGGGGAGGGGACTTGAGGAGAGAGCAGAGGAAATTCCAGGGTCTATGGAACTGCATCATAGAATGATGATAATAACTTAAAAAGAAGTTAAAATTTTAAAAATAAAACAAACATGGGGTTGGCATTGGCGTAGTGCATTAAGCCCCCACCCGTGATGCCAGCATCCCATATAAGTACAGCTACTCCACTTCTGATCCAGCCTCTGCTAACATGTAAGACGGCCCAGGTGCCTGAGCCACTGCAGCCACATGGGAGACCTTTGTCAGAGCCACTTTGGGCACTGAGCTGCAGATGCAAGAACATCCATCGTCTCGCTAACTCCGATTTTCACATAAGTCTATACACATACACTACGCACATATACATACACATTAGATGCAACCCTTCTTCGTCGCCGCTGAATGATGGCAGGAAGTAGCCCTGCTGTTTAAGAAGCGACCAAGGACTGGGACAGCCCAGCACATCTTTTACTCTTGCTGTTACTGTAATGTGCCTCAGGGTAACCAAACTCTTTTTAGATTTATTTTTATTGGAAAGTCAGATATACAGAGAGGAGGAGAGACAGAAAGATCTTCCATCTGTTGATTCACTCCCCAAGTGACTGAAACATCCAGAGCTGAGCCGATCTGAAGCCAGGAGCCAGGAGCTTCTTCCGGCTCTCCCACATGAGTGCAGGGTCCCAAGGCTCTGGGCCATCCTCTGCTGCTTTCCCAGGCCACAGGCAGGGAGCTGGATGGGAAGCGGGGCTGCCGGGATTAGAACCAGTACTGATATAGGATCCCAGTGTGTGCAAGGTGAGGACGTTAGCCATTAGGCTACCATGCTGGGCCCTATAACCAAACTCTTGATGAAGGAATTTATTTCAAGTAAAATACTTATAGCTAATAAATGGAGGAATCATAAAAAATAATAAAATGATAAAAGTGCTTGGCACCCTCCACTTGTGAAGAGCTGTAGCGAGGCTCACCGATGGGTCCGAGGGTCGTCGCAGCAGAGCTGAGGATCCCGGTCAGCTCTCTCCAAGCCACAGGAAGACAACCAGGCTGCTGTCTCCAGCTGTGACTCTGGACAGTGAGAAGTGACAGGCAGCATGACAGGGTGGCAGAGTAGGGGCAAGCCTGGCTCCTGCTGCACGTGAAGCAGAATTAATACAAAATGGATCACAGACCCACAAGTGCCGGTGGAACACTGACATAGAGCAAAATGTGGATGAAGATGCGGTTTATCACCTGGTCCCTTCGCAAATAAACTTTTCTGTTTGCAACAGAAAAAAAAAAGATGTGGTTCAACCAGCTTCATTCACACAGACACATACCAAGAGCTAGAACCAAGTGGTGGCGAATGAAGCCTCAGTATTGTGAGGAGCTTTTTCAGGAGCCTAAGCCTCTGCATGTGGTGCCTGCATCCCATGTGGATGCTGGTTCAAGTCCTGGCTGTTCCACTTTTAATGTCACTCCCTGCTAATGGCCTGGGGATGCAGCAGAGGATGGCTCAAGTGCTGGACCCTGCATCCACACCTGGACAAAGGAGACATGGACAAAGCTCCTGGCTCCTGGCTTCAGACCAGCTCAGCTCTGGGAAGGGAAGCAGCAGATGGAAGAACTCTCTCTCTCTTATGTATATATATATACATGCCTTTCAAATAAAAATAAATACATCTTTTCAAAAACGTGCTTTTCAAATGACGCTCTTCAGAAGCAAACCGGAAAGCCCACTGTGAGAACCCACAAATCACCCAGCTGATCAGTGTCTGTGTCCATGGCCAAGAACATAAACAGGAAGTAGACACGAGCAAACACTCAGCACGGAAGGTGCACAGACAGCAAGGAGGGACGTGGGAGATGCTAACATCAACTGTCCTTAGGGTGCTTCCTCCTGGGAGTCATCAGCGCCGGACTCAGCCTGGACCCTGTGGGCCACACCCCATCCCCTCAGCCTGGACCACACAGGCCACACCCCATCCCCTCAGCCTGGACCACACATGGCCCCATACCCTCAGCCGGGACACCACAGGCCACACCCCCATCCCCTCAGCCTGGACCCCACAGGCCACACCCCCTCAGCCTGGACCACACATACTCCCATCCCCTCAGCCTGGACCCTTGGGCCTCACCCCCATACCCTTCAGCTTGGACCCCATGGGCCACACCCCATCCCCCTCAGCCTGGACCCCACATACCCCAACCCCCTCAGCCTGGACCACACATGCCCCCATACCCTCAGCCGGGACACCACGGGCCATCCCTTATCCCCCTCAGCCGGGAACCCACGGGCCACACCCCATCCCCTCAGCCTGGACCCTGTGGGCCACACCCCCATCCCCCTCAGCCTGGACCCCACATACCCCCACCCCCTCAGCCGGGAACCCACGGGCCACACCCCATTCCCTCAGCCTGGACCCCGTGGGCCACACCCCATCCCCCTCAGCCTGGACCACACATGCCCCCACCCCCTCAGTCGGGACCCTGTGGGCCACACCCCATCCCCCTCAGCCTGGACCCCACATACCCCCACCCCCTCAGCCAGGACACCACAGGCCACACCCCATCCCCTCAGCCTGTACCACACATGCCCCCACCCCCTCAGTCGGGACCCTGTGGGCCATCCCTTATCCCCCTCAGCCGGGAACCCACGGGCCACACCCCATCCCCTCAGCCTGGACCCTGTGGGCCACACCCCCATCCCCCTCAGCCTGGACCCCACATACCCCCACCCCCTCAGCCTGGACCCCACATACTCCCATCCCCTTAGCCTGGACCCCACATACTCCCATCCCCTCAGCCTGGACCCCACATACTCCCATCCCCCTCAGCCTGGACCCCACATACTCCCACCCCCTCAGCCTGGACCCCACAGGCCACATCCCCATCCCCCTCAGCCTGGACCCTGTGGGCCACTCCCCATCCCCTCAGCCTGGACCCCACATACTCCCATCCCCCTCAGCCTGGACCACGTGGGCCACACCCCATCCCCCTCAGCCTGGACCCCACATACCCCCACCCCCTCAGCCTGGACCCTGTGGGCCATCCCCCATCCCCCTCAGCCTGGACCCCACATACCCCCTTCCCCCTCAGCCTGGATCCCACATACCCCCACCCCCTCAGCCTGGACCCCACATACCCCCTTCCCCCTCAGCCTGGATCCCGTGGGCCACACCCCCATCCCCCTCAGCCTGGACCCCACGGGCCTCACCCCCATCCCCCTCAGCTTGGACCCCATGGGCCACACCCCCATCCCCTCAGCCTGGACCCCACAGGCCACACCCCCATATCCCCCTCAGCCTGGACCCTTGGGCCTCACCCCCATACCTCAGCTTGGACCCCATGGGCCTCACCCCCATCCCCCTCAGCCTGGACCCTTGGGCCTCACCCCCATGCCCCTCAGCCTGGCCCCGGCTGCCTCAGGCCCACGCAGGCCCAAGCCTCCACATGGGTCGGCGCTGCCAGGTACCTCCTGCCAGCCAGGAGAGGTGTGGGTAACAATCAACTCTCGGCTTCACGGCCACTGAGGGACGCACCATACCTGACCACCAGCGCAGCTTCAAGTGACGGGTGGTGAGGAAGACATGGGGACCGTCCCCGGCCCCTCTGCAGCCTGGGAAGCCGGGCCGCTCCTGTGCAAGCCCACGTGAAGCCAGCCATGGACACGTATGCACCGTGGCAGCAACCACAGAGAGCTTCCAGACTGTCCTTCAGGTGACCCGTGCCTGCTGGCTGAGAGAGCAGGCAAGTCCTGGCACGCAGGCCCGCGCCAAGCACGGCTGGCCACACAGTCAGGGCTCAGAGCTGGGGTGCGGGGCCTGCTGGTGCTCGATGGATCGCAGCCGGTGCACAACCCCTCACCCAGCAGGCTAAGAGGGAGAACGGGGCGTGGGACGCGTGCCCGGGCTGGAAGGGCCACTTGTGTTCAGGAGGAAGCAAGATCAAAGCCATGAGTGTGGAGTGACCCGGGTCATGGAGGGAAAGTCTGACACACCCACGGGGCTCAGCTCTGCTCTGAGGACTGGAAGGATAAACAGACCCGGCTCCCCTACGCACGCTAGGGGAACCACTACAACCACTAAACAACAAAGCTACTTCCACTTAAAGAAGTAAACTCACCCACAGTCCACCATGTCTTGGCCTAAGCACACACCCATCCCACCCTCACCTGAGTGAACAGTGACCCCACCCCTCACCCAAACAACCAGGGCATCACCCCTCACCTTAACACCCAGAGACCCCCTCCCTCATCCGGGTATCCAGAGATCTCACCACACTGGAACACCCAGAGAGCCCACCCCTCACCCTGGTGTCCGGAACCCCACTCCCACATTGGAACACCCAAAAGCCCACCCTCCCCGGGTGTCAGGGCCCTGGCTCTCACCTGGAAGGTCTTTGTCTTCATGCACATGGTGCCATAGCCTTCCCGGCAGCTGAGGTAGAAAGTGCCTGTGAAACTGGAGCCGTCCGGCCATACGTAGGTACCCAAGCCATGGAAGTGGTCCCGGTAAAACTGCCCGCGGTAGGACTGTCAGTAGGGCATGTTGGAGAAACCACTGTTGAGCCACCCTAGACCCAGCAGGTGGGGGGTCAGAGCCTGCCCTGCCCCCAAAGCTGGTTGGTCACCCCGAGAGGCCCCCAGACCCAGCAGGTGGGGGGTCAGAGCCTGCCCTGCCCCCAAAGCCGGTCGGTCACCCCGAGAGGCCCCCAGACCCAGCAGGTGGCGAGTGAGAGCCTGCCCTGCCCCCAAAGCCAGAGTCGGTCACCCCAGGAGACTCAAGCCATGGCACATGGCTCACTTCCTCGGAAGACCCCCTGGGCACCATCTGTGCTCCGAGAGAGGGGTCCGGCAGGGAGGCCAGCACTGGATCCGGCTGTGAGTCATGAAGCACATGGCGCTGAAGCTTGGACAGGGCTTCTGCCCTGGACATCATCGGGCCTCCCTCCACACACTCCCTCCATGCCAGACAGGCCTGGTGGGTCCCTCAGTGTGGGTGTAAGGCCGTGAGGCCAGGCAGGACTGGCGGTGCTGCACTCCGTGCACAGGCCCTGGCTCCTGAGGGAGGCCCTCTCTTGTGCTGTAGCCATCCCATGCTCATGGCTGAGTGTCTGCTCGGGGCACCCCACCATGCAGACCCCCACAGCAGCTCAGCTGAGCCCAGCCTGCCAGGGTCTCTGGTCACAGGAAATAGACCAGATAGCACAGCTTTGCTGTAGGGACGCTCTGGGCTCACACTCGACCTGGGTGCACCTCTGAGCTCTGGCACATTCCAGGCCCACCACAGGGCTCAGGGACAAGGACAGGGTGCCATGCCCAAAGCTGCTCCTCGTGGCCTCTGAGGACCCCCACCCCTCATTCCCACTTCCCCACTCCTCTGAGCCCAGTCTCGCCTCTACTCAGTGTTAATGCACTTACAGGGCGCCTGCTGACCCACTGAGCACAGCACCCTACAAGGACGTGGCTGGCCACAGCCGCCCAAAGCTGGCCAGCCGACATGCAGGACTAGAAGGGTCCACTCCAGCCCCTTCCTCTGGAGAAATGGAGGCAGGGAGCAGGGACTGAGCCAGGTATACCAGTCTGGAGCACCAGGACGAGGGTGGGCAGGTCTTGGAACCAGGCAACTCCAGCAGCCCCTGTGCTCACCACCTCCAAGCAAGCACACACACACAACCACACATGTGCACATACGCACGTGCACACATATGCACACAGCTTGATTTTGTGCACGCATGCATGTGCACATAGGCAAACATAACTGCACACACATGTATGAGCATTCGTGCACATATACACCTCCTGCACACGCGTGCACCTGCTCAGGTACACCAGGAAGCACTGAGGGTCACACCAGAACACAATGAGGTGAGGGACAGTTCACGGGACCTCTTCTAAGCTCAGTATCCCAAAGGGGAGATGCCACACACAGCCTCTCTCTGACACCCGCCGCCGGGGAGAGAATCAGAGACCAGGTTCTGGGCACAGCCCACCAGCAGGTGCAAGGATGCTGTAACACATTCTTTGCCCCCTATTTCAGCTTCAACTCAGAGCAGCTCCAGCCGCATAAATGCACATGTCACAGTGACCACTCAGTGCAAGAGCCAAGGCCCAGCTCCCACACCTCCCCTGGGGCTGTGGACCCCAGGCAGGCCCAGCTCCCACACCTCCCCGGGGCTGTGGACCCCAGGCAGGCCCAGCTCCCACACCTCCCCGGGGCTGTGGACCCCAGGCAGGCCCAGCTCCCACACCTCCCCGGGGCTGTGGACCTGGGGCAGCCCTGGTGGCTGTCTGCAAAGACACAGTCCACCTGGCATCCCCCCTCCTGCTCAGTGGGCCCAGCAATCCTCCCCAGGAGGGAACAGGCCTGGGACTGGGCTCCCTGTCTAAGCCATGGGGCCATCCACCCAGCATCACTCCTCCTGCTCAGTGGACCCAGTGCTCTGACCTCCCGGGAGGAGACAGGCCTGGGACTGTTCTTCCCAGGGAAGCGGTAGGGCTGTTACCTCCCCTGTGGGCCAGGAGAACTCGCCATATCCCAGCTTCATGTTCAGTCCAAACTGTCCCCGGTAGAAACAGCCATCCGGCCACTGTTGCTCGCCCTGGACCAGCTGGACAGACACCTCTTCCAGCTGCTGCTGCTCCAAGCTGTCCTCTGCCTCCTCTTCGGGGTCCATAGGAGCTTCCCTGGGGAGACAAGAACAGAGAGGGCCAGGAGTGAGGACAGCCAAGGAAAGGTGCCAACCAGTCAGAGGGAGCGAATGGCTGAGAGCCTGAGACAGGGACCAGGCTGGCCTGGGGCTGCTGGAGCCTCCTGCAGCAACTGGCCGGGCCAGCGTGTCCCCTTAGCCAATGGCACCAACCGCAAGCCAGGCAGGGAGCTGAATTCAACACAGTTCACACACACACAGTTCCAGGAAAGGCCGCGTCCACTGCAGGCTGCAAACAGATGCGTGGGTGCAGGCAGCACTGATGGGGCACAGCCACGGGGAGGCTCCAGGTCCCCTCCCCCCATTCTTGCTAAGCTGTGACTTAAGAGCAAATCCCACCCCGGCCCAATCTCTCCTGCTCGCACACAGACACACGATCGCCCACTCCCAAGGGCTCTGCATCCAGTATCCCTAGACTGGACAGCTGACCCTGTGTCCCGCCAACAACTGCAGGCCACAGAGGCCAAACAAGTGCGTGTCCTCAAGGCTAGGCAGCATGGGAGAAGAGACGGCACCCACAGGCCGGGGAGGGGGCTGGCCCAGGACCCCCTCTCAGCCTTGGTCATACCCTGGTCTCCCGAGCCAGGGACTCTGGCCCACGGACCTGGAATGTGACACAAGGCAACTATGTCTTGCTCAACAAAGATGTACAAAGGTGGAAGCCGGCCGGCCGCTGAGGAAGTCGTGGGATGTTTTTAAATGTCCTGAGACATAAAAGGAAGTGACTTGGAGGCCTGCTCACCATCCAGTCAGCTGTGCAGTAGGTAGTGCCTCTGGGAGAGGGCTGGCTGCCACATGGCCCTGAACCCAGCAGGACTGGTCTTCTTTGGCTGCAAATCAGGCACCAGAGACAGGGCAGCTCAGCCCGGCCAGCCCTGGCTAGCCCTCAAAGACGATGGGGTGAGGGTCCCCTCTGGTACAAGGCCCCCCTGCCTTGACTCCATCTGGCCTTAGCCAAGTCTCTACCACTGGCCAGTATGCCCACGTGGGACACTCCCTACATCTCCTAGCCATGCGGCAGGGCAGGGACTGCCCCCTTCTTGTCATTCCCTCCAGCTGCCGACTCAACTGCCAGGCCTGCTTGCCTCTCCACAAGCTACACACGCCCTCGGGGATGCTTAGTGCCTGCCCTAGCGCTGCACCCCCGGCTGCCCAGAGTGACCTGGCCCTGCACCCCCAGCTGCCCAGAGTGACCTGGCCCTGCACCCCCAGCTGCCCAGAGTGACCTGGCCCGGCCCTGCACTCCCAGCCACCCAGAGTGCTCCACCCGGCGCTGCACCCTCAGCGGCCGAGCGCCTCGCACCTTTTGATGAGGGAGGCTGAGTTTTCCGGAGACTGCGGGTTCCGGGCAGCACCGGCCACACTGGCTCTCGCCTGCAGCAAGGGCTGGGGGCCACTGGCCTCCGAGGCTTCACAGTCTAAAGTATAGGAGAAACGACCCCCTTCCATGTCCCGCGCCTTCGAACCTGGAAGCAACACATGTGCCGCTCAGGACCCCTGCCGGCTCAACTCCTGGGGACCCCGACTGCCCACCCATCCGGCCTCGGCCCAGCAGCGTCGTTGGGGCCACGTGGCGGGGTCAGGCCTGCGCTCGTTGACAGCCCCAAAGGCGCGTCCACATGGAGGTGGCCACCCCAACCGCCGGCACTCCCAGCCCCTCTGCTCGAGGAAGGCGAGGAGTGCTGGCAGCCAGCGGACCGCACCTAGGCCTGAGCACACTGGACACCTCCGAGTCCACCAGGGCTCGGGGTTGCCCTGGAAACAGGCTCCGCCCACAGGACGCTGCGCTCTCGGGCAGGCCCCACCCCCTTTATGACCTCACGGGGCGGTGACCACGGCGGCCTGGCCAGCGGGGGCCCGGGGAACCCGCGCGCATCCCGTGACCCATCTGCAGTCGGCAGGCAGAGACCCAGCCAGTGCCGTGGCTTTCCCTGACCGAGTTAGAATGCACGGGGCCTGGAACAGGCAGCCCGGAGCCCCCTGAACCCAGGGACGGTGTCCTTGTAGGAGACGGAGCCCCAGGGCTGAAGCACCCCAGCACCGGAGAGGACAGGGAGAGGTCTCAGGGTGAAGACGGGTGACCCAGAGTGGGAACTAAAGATGAGCCCTGCATTCCACGGCCGGGACTCAGCTGCAGCCCTGCAGATCCGCCAGCACCCCTGAAGACTGCTACATCTGCTCATCCTCTGGCCTCCCCAAGCTGATGAGGTTTACTGGAGCATGAGAAATACACACGGGTGGGCGGGTGAGGGAGGGTGAGGGCCTGCTCTCCTAGGGGCAGAAGGCAGGAGGAGCCCCTCAGCGTGGGCTCTAGGGGGCCCGGAGTGGAGGTGTCCCCTGGGAGGAGCACCTGGATGCTCTAGGCAGTTAGTGGCGGCCCGAGGCCGGCCGTGCCCGCCTGTGTAACGTATTTCACCCACCCGTATGTGCCCATCCTTGGCTGGGAAGTGAAGGGCCGGGGGGCTGCCCTGCGCTTGTCACTCCCCTATAGGAGCCTGTGCCAAGAGGCCCTGCTTGTCTCCTGGGGCAGACGCTGTCAAGGTACCGATTTCTCCGTTTGGACTCAGGAGTCAGTCTCTCTCCCTTTTACTTGGTGTCTCATGGCTAGCTTCTGCTCCTCCCCTTCTGAATGAACTTTACCATTTGTTTACGCCTGTGCTTAAAATGCTTTTTAAGTTATAGGCCAGACCACAACCACATGAGCAGCAGGTGGGCAGTGGGCTCGCAAGGCCTGAAGCAGCTGCCCCAGTCCTTCTCAGCGCCGAAATCTGCTGCAGGATGGACGCGGGCAGCCTCCAGCTGCCCTCAGCCACAGCCCATCGCGTAGGGGACCAGGGGACGCCGGAGTCCATCTCCAGGGTGGGTGGGAGACTTGCAGGGACAGCTCCGTAGGTCCCCCCCGAGTCCGTGGAAACTAGGAAAAAATCCCACGAAATCCTGGCATGTGACAGCCAAGGCTGAGAGGAGCGGCTTGATGTGAATGGAATGGTGTGTACCAAGAGCAGGAAAGCACACGCAGAAGGCCCGAGGCCGCGGCGCAGCAGAGCCTCTCGGGGCAGGTGACCTCGGGGCCAGCAGGGCTCGCAGCCCCGGTCCCCTAGGTCCCCGCCCGTGCACAGAGGCCAGGCACGGGGCTGTGGCCCAGCAGAGCCTCTCGGGGCAGGTGCCGCTGTCCATCAGGACGGTGACCTCGGGGCCAGCAGGGCGCACAGCCCCGGTCTCCTAGGTCCCCGCCCGTACACACAGAGGCCAGGCACGGGGCTGTGGCCCAGCAGAGCCTCTCGGGGCAGGTGCCGCTGTCCATCAGGACGGTGACCTCGGGGCCAGCAGGGCGCGCAGTCCCGGTCCCCTAGGTCCCCGCCCGTGCACAGAGGCCAGGCACGGGGCTGTGGCCCAGCAGAGCCTCTCGGGGCAGGTGCCGCTGTCCATCAGGGCGCACAGCCCCGGTCCCCTAGGTCCCCGCCCGTGCACCGAGACCACGACCGCGGCCAAGCCGGCCATGCGCCCCGCAGACGCCGCCCGGCCCGCGCCGCCGCTCGTGCGCGTGGCCCCCGCGCTGTTCCTGGGCAGCGCGCGCGCGGCGGGCGCCTCGGAGCTGCTGCGGGACCTGGGCGTCCGGCTCTGCGTCAACGTCTCCCGCCAGCAGCCCGGGCCGCGCGCGCCCGGGGTGGCCGAGCTGCGCGTGCCCGTGCTGGACGACCCCGCCGAGGACCTGCTGGCGCACCTGGAGCCCACCTGCGCCGCCATGGAGGCCGCGGTGCGCGCCGGCGGAGCCTGCCTGGTCTACTGCAAGAACGGCCGCAGCCGCTCGGCCGCCGTCTGCACGGCCTACCTCATGCGGCACCGCGGCCTCAGCCTGGAGGAGGCCTTCCGGGTGGGCGGGGCTCGGGCGGGGCCTGCGGGGCGGGGCCGGCCAGATCGGGGCGTGTCCGGGCCGCGCTGTGGGCGGAGCCGGCCAGATCGGGGCGTGTCCAGGCCGCGCTGTGGGCGGGGCCGGCCAGATCGGGGCGTGTCCAGGCCGCGCTGTGGGCGGGGCTTCCCGGGAGCGGCGGACACTGCTCCAGCGCCATGGCCTCCTCATTTGTGCTCTCACGTCCGTGCAGATGGTCAAGAGCGCCCGCCCGGTGGCCGAGCCCAACCCGGGCTTCTGGTCTCAGCTCCAGCAGTACGAGCAGCTGCTCCAGGCCCGGCCCCCGGACGGCGGGGGGCCCACCGCAGCCGTCACCCCACCGGCCCCATGAACCGTCAATGCCGTTAGCCCCATCGCCCTCTGCCCGCTCGAGGCCGCCACCGCCCGTCTGGGACGGACTTTGGGCAAGAAAATCTGAGCCACTGGAAGAAGTCGAGGCCAGGAGAAAGGACGGGGAGTCGGAAGCTGAAGTTGAGGGCCTGGGAAGTCACAGGACACCCCTCACTCCGGATCCTGGACACCCCGGGTGCCACTGCCTGCATGGGGTGTCCCACCGGGCCAGGCCCCCCCCGGGAGGCTGTGCCCTAGGCCCCCCACTCCCTCCCACCTTACATTGTGCTGCGGCCCTTATATGGCCACCCCTGCACAGCTACTGCCAAGCCTGGGTGGGTGTCCCACCTGGCAGTCGTCCTGCCTGGACATCCTGTGACCCAGAGCCTCCGGGAAGAGCCTCCACAGGAGCACCAGATCAGAGCGCCGGGAAGAGGGGAGGGACGTGGGTAATTGTGAATCGGAGCCGCAGAGCCCGTGGTTAATACAGGCGTGTGGCACAATGAGTGGAGCACCCGGGTGGTATTGGCTTACATGCACTGCTCGGCCTTGAGGGGCTGCAGCGCAGACCCACTGACCCTGAGGGTCGGGCTGGGTCCACCCAGCGGAACAGCCCGGGTTGTTGGGTGGAACGCATAGCCTCCCCAGAGTCTGGAGACCTTGATCCAGCAGGGCCCAAGGGGCAGGCATGAGAAGCTGTTTGCAAGAAACAGGGTCTGCCCCTCTCCAACTCCTCGCACTGGACCCAGGTCCTTGGGCCAGAACACACACCACTTGGCATGAGTGACACCACAGCCCCCGCGCTGCATGGGGCAGAGCACAGCCCCAATCCTGTACCACGTTGGGTGACACCACAGCCCCAGTGCCTGCACCAGGGGTGACACCATGGCCCAGTCCTGGCACAGCAGGACAGTTCCACTTCAGCTTTGCGAAGGCCTGCCTGCCTCTGGCCTCCCCTACTGAGGGGCTCCTTGCAGCCCCTGACCCCCAGGGGAGCTTGCATGGCTTGGAGAGGTGGGCTTAGCAGTCTGCCCAGAGCAAGGGGTGGGGCCACACACCGAGGCCCATTCCTGCTGGGCCTGGCCAGCGGCAGGACCCCTGCAGGTCCCAGCAGATAGATAGGGCCGCACACCAGCTGCGACTCCGGTGCCTTGGACCTCTTGCCTCCCACACCAGTGCCTTTCTTCCTGGGTGGGACCAAGGCCCACGGCAAGGGCTGCTCGGTCCATGTGGTTGGAAGGCAGGGTGCCCACACCGCTCCGCCGCCTCTGATGGCCAGAGGCCCAAGCACCGAGTTGCGGTGGGCTTCAGCTGCGGGGGTGAGGGTCTGGGGTGTGACTGTGCTTCCTACTGCCAGGGGTACCCAGGCCGGCGGCCAGGCAAGGACCACACTGCACCCTAACCCAGCTCACAGTGTGCACGGGGCTTCCCGGCCTGTGTGCTGACTTGAGGCCGGCTCCTGGAGTGAAGGCCCCGACACGGGCACAGCCCCATCCCTGCCCATCCTGGGGAGGGGAAGGACCCCAACCCTGCTCCTCCCGGGACTACAGAGGCTGTGGGTCGGCAGCAGGCAGGACCCACCCTTGAGGCCCCTGCTGTAGAGTCGTCCAGCTCTACAGGCAGCCCCGAGCAGGACACACAGCCGCGCGCTTGTACTTGCCCCTCTTACGCCTAGCATACAGGACTGAATCCCACCTCGGGTGACCCAGGGTTCTCAGAGATTGGGGGAGGGGCAAAGGGAACATGAGTTCCTCAGAAGAGGGCAGAGGGGGCCGAGGTGTTGAGGGCACAGGGGGTCAAGTCGGTGAGGGCACATGGAACCGAGCTGCGGAGGGCACAGGGGCCGAGGCGGTGAGGGCACAGGGGCCGAGGCGGTGACAGATGGGGCAACAGTCCAGGGGATGTGGCTGCACCCACCGCCCACAGTCCTCTGCCCACTCCCGAATAGCAGGATTCAGCTTCCAAGGCGCCCAGCTGTGTCTGACTGGGCTGACTGAGGGGCAGCTCCCCGGTCAATGAAAGCAGCTACGGCCCTCGCGTGCACCGGAGGCGTTGGGGTGGGGGCTTCCAACACAGCCAGCGCAGCTGCGAGCTACACTTCCCACTGCACGCAATGCGGATTTAAACGGCCACACGTGGAAGTGCCTTCCGTGTTTCACGGCGCAGCCGCGAGGAGCCTGGGCCAGCTGGCCAGGCCCGCGGCCCACGGAGGACGGAAGCCGGTGAGTTCCCGAGCCGGACACACAGGCCGCACCCGGGTGCCCCAAGTGGTGCCAGGACCCGGCGGCTGCTGCCCGGAGCCTGACCCGCAACGTGGCGCGGGCAGCCGCGGCCCAGCCTCCCGGATCCTCCCTGGCGCCGCCGGCCGGGTAGGGAGCGCGGCGCGCGGGGCCGCGGAGACGCTCGGCCACCGCCGCCCCCTGCGCCCCGCTCGCCGCTCCGCCCGGCTCTGCGCGCCCCGGGACCGCCGCGGCCCTGCGCGCCCGGGCGCACGGTGGCCAGGCCCCGCGCACAGCGCCCCCGGCGGTGACCGCGCCGAGCGGGGCGGCTCCCGGCGCGACTTCCTGTTGTGTCCGCGCCCCGCCGCCGCCGCCCGGCGCCCCTCGCCCGTCCCCGCGGCCCGGAGCGGCCGCCGCCCATGGATTTCACCTAGTGCCGGGGCCATGGCGGCGCAGTGCTGCTGCCGCAAGGCGCCCGGCGCCGAGGCCGCGCCCGCCCGCCCGCCGCCCGAGCCGCCGCCCGCCCTGGACGTGGCCTCGGCCTCCAGCGCGCAGCTCTTCCGCCTCCGCCACCTGCAGCTGGGCCTGGAGCTGCGGCCCGAGGCGCGCGAGCTGGCCGGGTGCCTGGTGCTGGAGCTGTGCGCGCTGCAGCCGGCGCCCCCCGCGCTCGTGCTCGACACGCACCCGGCCCTGCGCCTGCACTCGGCCGCGTTCCGCCGCGCCCCCGCCGCCGCCTCCGAGACGCCCTGCGCCTTCGCCTTCCCCGCCCCCGGGCCGGAGCCCCCACGGCCGACCTTCCCCGAGTGCCCCGGCGCCGAGCCTGCCTGCTGCCCGCTGGCCTTCAGAGTGGACCCGTTCACCGACTACGGCTCCTCGCTCACCGTCACGCTGCCCCCCGAGCTGCAGGCGCACCAGCCCTTCCAGGTCATCCTGCGTTACACCTCGACCGACGCTCCCGCTGTGAGTCCGGCTGGGTGGGGGCCGCGGCACCTGCGCCTGGGCGAGGAGGGGTAGCCTGCCCGGAAGGGAGTCCCAGCTGTTGACCTTAGGAGCCCAGGGTAGAGCCGGTCCGAGGGCCAGGCCTAGTAGGCGGCGGAGACAGGACAAGCCTCACAAAGAAAGGCCCCCAGCCCACGTTCTGTTGCTGCCCAGAAGAGAGCTGCTTCTGCCGGGCACCTGCTCAGCTGCCACCCCTGCAGCCTGGCCCAGGGTGGGCTCGGAGTGTCAGGTGTAGAAGGGCCCAGACAGTTGAGCACGCAGGGCCGCCCTCTGCACCGAGTGACAGCTGTCCCTGTGGGAGCCAAGGACAGGCCCAGTGCTTGGTGCAGACGGCCCCCCGACCCCAGCCAGCAGGTACTGAGGCAGGTGGGTGGGCCCCAGGCTGCCCACACAGACATGCTGGGCTCTGCCAGGTCTGGGATCTCTGGGTCAGGGCCTGTGGTTGTAGCACTCCTCAGCCGCCTGGGCCAAGAGTGGAACTTGCAGGATGGAGCAGCCCGGACCTTTGTCACCGCAACCCAGGGGCTGTGCCAGGAGCCCAGGTGGCTAGGAGAGCAAACAGCTGATAGGAAGCGTGTGCACCGAGCCCTGGCTCCCTGTCCCACACACAAGTGGACGGGTGGTATAACGGCCTCAGCCTGGGTGCCACCAGTGGATGAGCCCTGGGTGGGCCTGCCACACTTTCTCCAGTCCCTTGTTGGCGGGACGACCAGTGGCCTGCTTGCAGTGTCCTGGGACTCTGTCAGGTGCAGGTACCCTCACAGCTCAGCAGTGAGGGAGGGAGCCGTGCTTCCCTGGACGGGAGGCGGGGTGGGGACAGGGGCCCACCCCCTGGTGTGAGCCCAGGAGGAGGGGAGGGAGAAGGAACAGGGACTCACCCCTTAGTGTGAGCTGAGGGGGTGGGGAAGGAGGTGAGGCTGGGAGGGTGTCTGCCCTACTGGGCTGAGGTCTGCTGTCCCCTACCCAGATAGCTATGGACTGCAGATTCCACATGCACCCAGGAGAGTGGCAGGGCCTGTGTGCCTGGCCACAGGGGATGGGGAGCCCCCGGGGCTTGGAGGTGGGGTAGGAGCAGTACCAGTGGGGCCTCCAGCTTGCCCGACCCCCATGGGGCTCCCACTACAGACACCTGAGCACCTGGAAAGGAAAAGCAGGGAAGGGGGCTGAGGGTCTGGGTAAGAGGGAAGGGGGCACAGCAGGCAACCTGGCCTGAGGATAGCACTGGTGACCAGGGCACACCCAAGGCATCACCATTGTCCCTGCCTCTGGAGGCCTGGGGCCAGAACTCTCCCTGGCCACTGCCGTCCTGGGTACCTCCTGCCTGTCCTCCGGGCTGCAGCCTGTCTCCCTTTCCTGGCCAGGCCCATATGGGAGCCCCCAGGTGTGCCAACCTGCCCCATTCTCCCTCCCTCCCTCCAGGAGCTCACTATGCCCCCATGGCCTTTCCCTTTGGACACCCTGGCGTGGGTCCAGAGATTCCCACTGACCCTCACTCCAACCCCAGTGTGCAGCCCCTGCCCTGGGGAGCAGAGCAGGTCAAGGGCACAGCCTTCACTGCCCCTCCTGCCCCGGGGAGCAGAGCAGGTCAAGGGCACAGCCTTCGCTGCCCCTCCTGCCCTGGGGAGCAGTGAAGGCATCCCAGGTGTAGTGGCTCTAGATGAGCCCAGCGGGGCCGCCGTCCCCTGTTGTCCCCTGCAGCTGCTACCTGGGCCCGCGGCGTGGAGCCAGCCAGGCGGCCGTCTGCTCACCGTCCACCCCTCCCACAGATCTGGTGGCTGGACCCGGAGCTGACTTATGGCAATGCCAAGCCCTTCGTCTTCACGCAGGGCCACTCCGTGTGCAACCGTTCCTTCTTCCCTTGTTTTGACACGCCTGCCGTGAAGTGTACCTACTCAGCGGTCGTCAAGGTCAGGCTCTACCTGTCCCCCACACCACCTCCCGCCCACCCGGGTTGTAGTCCCAGCTACCGCCAGGTCATCTTCCACTGTGCCAGACTCCAGGGGTCTTGGCAAGGGGCTGCAAGCAGAGCTGCCTGGCTCGTGATGGGACTTGGGTCCCCAGCATGTGTGCGGCTATTTGAGAGGTTATGAGAGGGTGCATGGGGGTGTGCAGGTGCCAGGAGTACCTGGTCCAGGAGGGCCCCAGACCTCAGTCCAGCCTCCTGGCACGCCCCCACGGGTGTGCAAGTGCCGGGAGTACCTGGTCGGGGAGGGCCCCAGATCCCCAATCTGGCCTCTTTGCAGGCCCCCGTGGGCGTGCAGGTGCTGATGAGTGCCACCCAGAGCACATACGTGCAGGAGGAAGGAGTCTACCACTTCCACATGGAACACCCAGTGCCCGCCTACCTCGTGGCCCTTGTGGCTGGAGACCTCAAGCCAGCGGACATCGGGCCTAGGTGGGGCCCCTCACATTGGGTGTGGGTGCTTGTGGGCAAGCACTATGTATTGGTACAACTGGCCATCCCCAGGTCGTCCTTCCCTGTCCTGCCCTGGCCCAGTGCCCAGCCTCCCTCAGCCTCAGCCATCCCCTGCCCTGGCCTGGTACCCACCCACCCTCACCAGTCGGTCATCCCCTGCCCTGGTCTGGTACCCACCCACCCTCACCAGTTGGTCATCCCCTGCCCTGGTCTGGTACCCACCCACCCTCACCAGTCGGTCATCCCCTGCCCTGGCCTGGTACCCACCCACCCTCACCAGTCGGTTATCCCCTGCCCTGGCCTGGTACCCACCCACCCTCACCAGTCGGTTATCCCCTGCCCTGGCCTGGTACCCACCCACCCTCACCAGTCGGCCATCTCCTGCCCTACTCTTATGCCCCCTGACCTGTCCCACATGTCCTTGTTCACTCGTGCACCCTTCAGCCCCGATATGTCACAGACCAAGTAGCCCCACCAAGCCCAGCTCTGCATCTTTCCTGGGCAGAATCTGCATGGCTGCCCGCCTGGGGGCCAGGTGGGCACAGAGGACCTGGTAGGCTGGCTTCAGTCTGTCCTCCCTGCACTGCCACAGGAGCCGAGTGTGGGCCGAGCCGTGCCTCCTGCCCACAGCCACCAGCAAGCTGTCCGGCGCCGTGGAGCAGTGGCTGAGTGCGGCCGAGCGGCTCTACGGGCCCTACATGTGGGGCAGGTACGTCCAGGCAGCTGATATGTCCCTGGGGGCCTGGCTGGCTGGACCAGGGAGCTGAGACAAGTGCCCATCTTCTGAGGAGGAAGCTTGGATAGCAAGTGGAAGTGTGGGCTCCATGGACACTGGGCAGCAGGTGATGGTGTGGGCTCCGTGATCCCTAAGCAGGGGTGGAGGTGTGGGCTCCGTGGACACAGGGCAGCAGGTGGAGGTGTGGGCTCTGTGGACACTGGGCAGCAGGTGGAGGTGTGGGCTCCATGGACACAGGGCAGCAGGTGGAGGTGTGGGCTCCATGGACACTGGGCAGCAGGTGGAGGTGTGGGCTCCATGGACACTGGGCAGCAGGTGGAGGTGTGGGCTCCATGGACACTGGGCAGCAGGTGGAGGTGTGGGCTGGGCTCCATGGACACAGGGCAGCAGGTGGAGGTGTGGGCTGGGCTCCATGGACACTGGGCAGCAGGTGGAGGTGTGGGCTCCATGGACACTGGGCAGCAGGTGGAGGTGTGGGCTCCATGGACACTGGGCAGCAGGTGGAGGTGTGGGCTCCGTGGACACTGGGCAGCAGGTGGAGGTGTGGGCTCTGTGGACACTGGGCAGCAGGTGGAGGTGTGGGCTCCATGGACACTGGGCAGCAGGTGGAGGTGTGGGCTGGGCTCCATGGACACTGGGCAGCAGGTGGAGGTGTGGGCTCCGTGGACACTGGGCAGCAGGTGGAGGTGTGGGCTCCATGGACACTGGGCAGCAGGTGGAGGTGTGGGCTGGGCTCCATGGACACAGGGCAGCAGGTGGAGGTGTGGGCTCCGTGGACACTGGGCAGCAGGTGGAGGTGTGGGCTCCGTGGTCCCTAGGCAGGGGTGGAGCTTTAGGCTCCTCCCAGGGCAGGTGCCTGACCCTGGGCGTCCCCTGCCTGTCACGGCGCAGGTACGACATCGTCTTCCTGCCCCCGTCCTTCCCCATCGTGGCCATGGAGAATCCTTGCCTCACCTTCATCATCTCCTCCATCCTGGAGAGTGACGAGTTCCTGGTCATTGACGTCATCCACGAGGTGGCCCACAGCTGGTTTGGCAATGCAGTCACCAACGCCACGTGGGAGGAGATGTGGCTGAGCGAGGGCCTGGCCACCTACGCACAGCGCCGGATCACCACGGAGACCTACGGTAGCGTGGGCGGGCCTGCGGGCGGGCGGGCAAGCCTATGGCAGCTGCTCAGGCCTCACCCCGGCTCTGCCCTGCCCCTATCCAGGTGCCGCCTTCACCTGCCTGGAGACCGCCTTCCGCCTGGATGCCCTGCACAGGCAGATGAAGCTGCTGGGAGAGGACAGCCCGGTCAGCAAGCTGCAGGTCAAGCTGGAGCCAGGTACCCGGACCCTCAGCCTCCTGGGCCTCCTTACCTGCCCTCTGCCTGCTCGGGCCAGGGCTGTCCCATCCCCCAGTCTCCCTCAGCCATAACCTGGACAAGCTGTCCCTTGTAGGCGTGAACCCCAGCCACCTGATGAACCTGTTCACCTATGAGAAGGGCTACTGCTTCGTGTACTACTTGTCCCAGCTCTGCGGAGACCCCCAGCGCTTCGACAGCTTCCTCCGGGTGAGCACCCCGTGCCCCGCCGGTCGTCTCCCTGCCTCTTTGTCCCTGGCCCCAGGCCCACTGAGCCCCAACCTGCACACAGGCCTACGTGGACAAATACAAGTTCACCAGTGTCGTGGCCCAGGACCTGCTGGACTCCTTCCTGAGCTTCTTCCCAGAGCTAAAGGAGCAGAGTGTGGACTGCCGGGCAGGTGAGCTGGCGGGGGTGCTCCCAGGGGTGGCGGCTAGGTCAGGCCTCCTCACAAGAGCACCAGGACATGCCCAGACATGGCGAGTCTGGCAGGGGAGAGGGAGTTCGTCCCGGAGCGGACTGCTCCTCTGTGTGCAAGCCCCCGAGAGCGTGCTAATGGTCTCCGGGACTGAGGGAGACCAACCATGGGGACACCTGGGACCCCCACCTGGGAAGATGCAGTCGGGGCCCGAGGGGCTGGTAGGAGGGTTCTACCCAGAGCCCAGCCCACCTGTGGAGATCCTTGCTTCTTACCCCGGGAGGGGACAGGTGTTCCTCAGTCACTCCTTCAGCCATTCTGGCCTCCCAGAAGCCCCTGAAGGGGATACAAGTGCTGGGTACAGACCTCCCTGAACTGCCCACACCCCAGGGACTCCAAGACCCAGGCCCAGGCCACCCACCCAGGGCGACCTTCAGCTGGGGACAACAGGATGGTGTCACTGCCCCCTCCCCCGCCAACAGGGCTGGAGTTCGAGCGCTGGCTCAATGCCACGGGCCCGCCTCTGGCTGAGCCGGACCTGTCTCAGGGATCGAGCCTGACCCGGCCCGTAGAGGCCCTGTTCCAGCTCTGGACCGCGGAGCCCCTGGACCAGGCAGCTGCCTCCGCCAGCGCCATTGACATCTCCAAGTGGAGGACCTTCCAGACGGCACTGTTCCTGGACCGGCTCCTGGATGGGTCCCCACTGCCCCAGGGTGGGTCTCGGGGAGTGTGGGGGGAGCCCAGCACTGGGCAGGGGGCGAGGCACCGCTGGCCCTGACCACCTGCCCGCCCCAGCAGAGGTGGTGACCAGCCTGGCCCAGTGCTACTCCTCACTGCTGGACTCGATGAACGCCGAGATCCGCATCCGCTGGCTACAGATTGTGGTGCGCAACGACTACTACCCGGACCTGTACAGGGTGCGCCGCTTCCTGGAGAACCAGGTGCAGCCCCAACCCTCTGACCGCCTGGGCTGGGGCAGAGGGCAGCCAGGACACCACCCGGCCCTTGAGAGGGGGAGGGAAGAGGACACCATGCCAGAAGCAAATTCCTGGCTGCCCTGGGCGTTGCTGGGTCCTGACCTGTGGGTGTTCGTCTTCTGCATCCACTCCCACGGGCTGTGCGGGCTCCTGGTCCGGGCCACGGGCTGTGCGGGCTCCTGGTCCGGGCCGTGGGGTGCACTCCCACAGGCTGTGCAGGCTCCTGGACTGGGCCACGGGCTGTGCGGGCTCCTGGTCCGGGCCGTGGGGTGCACTCCCACGGGCTGTGCGGGCTCCTGGTCCAGGCCGTGGGGTGCACTCCCACGGGCTGTGCGGGCTCCTGGTCCGGGCCATGGGATGCACTCCCACGGGCTGTGCAGGCTCCTGGTCCGGGCCGCGGGCTGTGCGGGCTCCTGGCCCTGGCCACGGGCTGTGCGGGCTCCTGGTCCGGGCCACGGGCTGTGCGGGCTCCTGGTCTGGGCCACGGGCTGTGCGGGCTCCTGGTCCGGGCCGCGGGGTGCACTCCCATGGGCTGTGCGGGCTCCTGGTCCGGGCCACGGGCTGTGCGGGCTCCTGGTCCGGGCCGTGGGGTGCACTCCCACGGGCTGTGCGGGCTCCTGGTCCGGGCCGCGGGCTGTGTGGGCTCCTGGCCCGGGCCACGGGGTGGACTCCCACGGGCTGTGCGAACTCCTGGTCCGGGCCGCGGGGTGGCCGCGGTTGCTGTGCGTGCCCGTGCCTTACCAGCTGTGCCCACAGATGTCACGCATGTACACCATCCCGCTGTACGAGGACCTGTGCACAGGCGCCCTCAAGTCCTTCGCCCTGGAGGTCTTCTACCAGACGCAGGGCCGGCTACACCCCAACCTGCGCCGCACCATCCAGCAGATCCTGTCCCAGGGCCTGGGCCCTGGCACCGAGCTCAGCGGGGAGCCAGGCGGTGCAGCCGTGGACGTCGACTCGGACTCACAGGCCCTGCTGCTTGGGGACGAGGCCCCTGGCAGTGCCATCTCTCTCAGGGACGTCAACGTGTCCGCCTAGCCCTCCGCACCCCACCCCCGACACCATGATTGTGCCTTCTGTGCCCGGGTTGCCGTGACTGTGCCTTGGCTCCGGCCATGAGCGCCGCCCGGGCTCCCCCAGCCCCAGCCCCCTCGTGTCTGGCAGGGGCCTGCGGAACCACCCAATCCCCTGCCCACCCTCTTGCACTGCAGGCCCCTGGCTGGCCAGCACACGCCACACCTCCGTCTCAACACTGACAGCCGTGCCAGACCCGGACACCAGCACTTGCTGGGCGCTGCCCCCAGGCCCACGGCCACCACCACATTGTGCCTTATGTCTGCGAGGAGGTCTGGCCCCCGCTGTCCTACAGAGCCCTCCCCCTTACCCCTAGCCTGGGTGTGGCAGCTTCCAGGGCCCCTGGCACAGGGACCACGGCGTGTGTATCCCCCATGTGTGGGGGTGAGGGCTGCTGGGAGCAGGTGCCCTCCCCTGCCCGACCCAGGGGAAGCCTTAGCTCTGTGGGGATACAGGGTCTGGCCCCCAGGGAGGTGGGCACTGGACACTGTCCACCTCGCTGCCTGGGAGGTGCAGGGCACTGCTGTTCCCTGGGGACTGGGGAGGGATACCGCTGCTCTTCGGGAAGCAGTGGGCAGGGGGCCCTGGCCTAGGACTGCTGTATGGGGAGTCTCGGTGGACATCCCATTAAACTTCCACTCTGCAGACCTGCCCACCCATCCTGCTTGTCCCACACTGTCCCAGGCACCCCCAGCTATAGGAGGTGTGAGCTGGAGGAAGCTGGTGTTGGCCCCTTCCCGAGACAGACCCCCTAGACCCCTGAGGAGGCCATGGGTCACCCTGGGCTGGGGGCCTCCAAGCTGTGACTGGCACAAGCCCAGCCCAGCCTGGACAGAAGGACAAGAAAGCTTCGGGTGGCAGGCAGGGAGGCTGGAGCCCGGGAAACTTGCTGCCATGATGGGCTGTGGGGTGGATGAGAGCTAGGTCCTGGGTCAGGCCGGCCAGTGAGCACGAGCTGTGGGGTGGACGGGCCTGAGCTAGGTCCTCAGCCTTCCACCAGAGCATACTGCTGGGGCCTGGGAGTGACATCCACTGAAGTGAGCCACCAGTCCTGGAACTGCTGCCACTCAGACTTCTGGTTCAGGGCTACAGCCCCTGACCCCAGGGACAAGGACGTATGTGTGGCCTGCACAGTGGGCTAGTGTAGGCCTTCACATGCCTTTACAAGGCAGAAAGGGGACAAATTCCCCTGGTCTACTCCACAGCTGGCTCTAGCACTGGCCTCCCCTTCCCCCCACTCCACCAAGGGCAACCTTCACAGTGGCACAAGTACCTTGTGTCCCAGGCTCTGTCTCCTGTCCTCCTTTCCCATGACCCTCCAGGAGGCACCCTGGTGACCTGGGATCCACGTGGGCAGCCACAGCTGCAGGTCTCCCCCAGAACACACAGGGGCAGCTATGCAGCATAGAGAACCATGATGGCTGTGACCAGGACGCTGTCCATCCATCTGCCCTGACTCCACATCCTCCCCCACGGGGGCAGGCAGTGAGAAGCAATCACTTGCGAACTGGAGTGTCCTGCGGCCACATCTTTGTGTGTCCCAGCCTGGTCCCCCAAACCTGCAGCATTACACGCGGGGCCCTAGATTGTTCTGCCAGGACATGCTGCGCACACTGGACTGGGATTTGCTGGCATCTAAGCAAGAACTCTGAGGCCAACATCGTTCCTGCAAGGCCACTTCATCCCAGGGCTGTCCAGGGACTTGTTCTGATGGACAGGCATGCACCATGGCCAGTGCGTTGCTGGGCACAAAGCCTCACAAGGGCTGGCCCTGGAGCCCCAGGAACTGTGCACGGCACGGGGGGGGTGGGGGGGGGTGGGGGGGTGGTCACTATGAGCCTAGGCAGGAATAGGCTGGGATAGAAATGAGTTATCCCTGGGGTCTAGGATTGACCATCACAGAGGGGCAGGGCCTCAGGACAGGCAGCCCACAGGGTGTGCATGGAGAGTCTCCCAGACCTTTGGGCCCGTACAGGCTGCGTGCTGTGCCACCACACTGTCCCCTAGCACTTTGGCCCCATCTCAGTGGTGGGGCTCCTGGATGCCATGGTTAGTGCGTGAGGGGACTTCTCAGGGAACCCCAGGCTCAGAGCACATGTGTGGCATGTCTGCCCAGGGTGCACTGAGCAGGCATGGGCCAGCAGAGCCACCAGGAGGGACAGAATAGCGGCCACTGTCTCAGACACAGGAGGTTGAATGTAACCACAACCAAGTGGGAGATGTGTGTGAAACAAGAGCAGGAACAGCCAGAGCCCACGCCATTTAAACTGTAGTCATAAAGTTATAGGAGGGACAGAGATGCTTCATCTCTGCTTCATTCCCTAGATGGCTGAAGCCAAGACTTCATCTGCCATGTGGGCGAAGTGCCCAGGCACTTGCACCATCCTCGGGTGCTTTCCTGGGCACATTAATAGGCAGAATACAGTGGAGTAGCCGGGGTGTGAACCGGTGCCCATAAGGGTACCAGCATTGTGGGTGGTGGCTTAATGTGCCATAGCAGGGCACCAGCTCTTTAGAAATGTTTAATAAAAAACTGGAAACAGAGTTGTCACAGTGAAGACATGACCCAGCACACTGCCCCCTGTGACCACAGTGACTCCCACACAGGAGGGGCAACCGAGCCCTGCTCGCCTGCACCCATGAGCTTGGCCAGGACCTGCCCACAGCATGCTCTCCTTCCCTGACAACACGTACCTGGCCGCCATGCTGCTCTGGGCAGGCACACCGCTGTGTGTGGAGGACTTGGGTAGCCATAGGTCTGCATGGGATAAGGCAAAGCTACAGAGAGATGGACACTGACCAGGGCCTCCCATGGCCTTGGCTGCCCTAACTCCACAGCCCCCAGGCTGCGCACAGCCCCCTCCCCGCACCCCAGACCCAGGCCACATGTTCCCTGCTGTTCCACTTCAACAGGCTGAGCATCAGCTTGGCGATGTGGTTCTCATGACTGAACTGCAGTGGGCACAGGGGGGCAAGTGTGCCAGCCAGAATGACAGGGTCATTGCTGTGGGAGAAGCTGACCTCCAGGCTATGGACACTGCAGAAGCCACCCGAGGTGCATGGCTGAGGACCCGGCCTGGTCCTCGGACACCGTGGGGTTGGCTATCCCCACGGTGTGTAAGTGCCTGACCCGGCCGTACATAGTGCAGACCCCAGGGCATTCTAGCAGTGGAGCCCACTGGTCCTTGCCCCCAGCCCACCCCTGTGCACCTGGACTGCCCTTTCCGTCCCACACTGGCCCTCAAACCTCTTGTCTGTGGACTGAAGCTTCCCCAGGGCCTCCCAGGCCTTTCTAGGAACTCTAACTCTGCAGCGGAGGGCAGGCCTTCCATGGCGGGGCATGACCAGAGCTAGGTTCTTACTGGTGTGGCAACTCCCCTCCCCCTAGACCCTTGTGGGAAAGGCTGGTCTTTAGGGAGGTCCCAGAAGCCTGGAATGAGCTCAAGCTCCAGGCATGGCTGGTGCCTCCTGCATCCCCTGCCCTCACCAGCATGATCCAGAAACAGCTTGGCTGTGGAGTCCAGAGTGTCCCCGTGCCCCCAGTGCTGGGGCACATCGGGCAGAGCCTTGCCTTCACCTGCAACGCCAGCACCCCGTGTGGGGTGCAGGTCCTGATGTGGTCTAGGCAGTTTAGGGTCACCATGTCTGACTTGCCCCACTAGTGCCTAGCCATCATTACCTGGGGCTGGAGCAAGGGGTGGACTGCCCTGCGATGGCTCTCTCCCTTGCCAAGACCTACCTATAAACGGCCGGGCAAGGAGGGGTACCGCCTTTCAGAGCACAGCTAGGGAGGTGGGGCTTCCTCAATCCCCCCTCTATTCTGTGGGCAGACTCAGAAAAAAGCAACAATTTATTTTTCTCTTAGGACTCAATGTATCAACCTCCCTCACCCATTTTCACTTTCTTACAGTTTGTTTGTCACCATCTGAGTAAACTTCACCACCTGCCGTGTTGCTGCCGGTGCTTAAGACACTTTTTAACCACAAGTTCCAGCTGCTCCATTCCTCACCCAGCTCCCGCCTAGGGAGGACAGCGCAGGACGGCTGGTCCTCCGACCCAGGGTGCTGGTAGGGTCCAGCGCTGGGCAGGGCAGCCCTCCCCACGGCGGGGGAAGCCAAAACACCCTTTACAAAGGCCTGGACACTCATCCCGGCCCGGGTGGGACGGCAGGGCAGGTCCAGATGTAGTGGTCTGGATTTGGTCTGGCCCAGCCATCCAGGCTGCTGCTGAAAACCCTAACAGATCAAAGGGCCGGACCCCTTGGCGCACGGGCTTTTACCGGGGAGTGACCGATGTCAGGGCAGCGCCCTCGCCCAGGTTCAGTCGCGATGGGGACGCACACGGGGACAAGCCCGGCTCTCAGACGCGTGGCCCTCCACTGCCCGCCAGGACCGCAGTGGGCAGGCTTGGGCAGAGAGCGGCTCGGAATAGCCGAGCGGCGCCTGCCCTCCCCAGAACGCACGGGTTCGGTCTGGCTACCGCGCCAGCAGGCCCAACCTGGGGGTCCCGGACCTAGCCCCCCGCTAGTGCCCGGTCCAGCAAGCAGCCCCGCCAGCCCCCGACTCCTCCAAGCCCGTCCCGGGGAAGCCGCGCCCGGAACCGCCATCCCGCGGCTCCTTCAAGGGCCGGAACAGGGGTGCATCCTGGGAAGGAGAGGCGCCCTGCGCGAGCGGCGCTGCACGGCGGGATCTGTAGTCCGGCGCCCGGTGGCGGCCCCCGGAGCCCCCCAGACGGCCCCGGCCGCGCTGCACAGCCCGGACGGGCACGAGCCTCGACCCCGCCCTGTGCCCGCTGCCCCGGAGAGCCGGCCGGGCGGCGGCGCAGCTCCGGCCGCCTGGTCACGTGCCCCCGAGCGACGCGCCCGGTTGGTTGCTGCCCGGTGGGCGACGGAGCCCCCAGCAGCCGGTGGGCACCTGCGGCCCACTGCCCCGGAAGACCCCGGTCGGGCAGCGTCCGCCCTGCGTTCGCCGGCTGCAGGTGGGAGTCCGGGCGCCGGCGATGCGGGCGGGCCGGGCCGAGGAGCTCTTCCGGGACGCCGACTTCCCCGCCTCCGACGCCTCGCTTTTCTTCAACCTGTCCACCCCGCTGGCCCAGTTCCGGGAGGACATCACGTGGAGGCGGCCGCAGGTGCGGCTGGGGGCCCCGTGCGCACCCCGGCCCGTCCCTCGTCGCTCGGGTGCCTTTATTGGGGTCTGGGTTGGGGTCTGATAACTTCCCTGAGAGAGAGAAGAGCGGGGCTGCCTGCTAGCAGGCTGCGAGGGGTGTGCCTGTTGACCGCTCCCGGTCGGGTATCCCCGGGAAGGGGGCAGCTATCTAGCTCCTGTCCGCAGCGGGGGGCTCCGGAGGCTCGGCCAGGGCGCGCTCTGCACAGAAGCTGGCTCCAGTCGCCAGCAGGGGAGTGTTAGGTGCCCAGGAAGGATACTGGCGAATTCGCTGCTGGGGGTCCCCAGCTGGGGTGCGCACCCCACCATGCATGCATGCAGAGTGCAAGTTGGGGTCCTTCTGTGCAGTCCGGGTGTGTGGGAGACCCGAGAGCTAGCGCGGATGGTAGAACTCTGTCCGCCTGAGTTCCGGTCCGTGGACACGCCGCCTGCCTCTCTGGTGTTGTCAGTTGAAGGTTGACTGGCAAGAAAAGCGGTGGGTGGGTCTCTGTGGCGGCTGAGACCAGCACAAGGAACAGTTTTCCGGGGCTACGATCCCAGCCCCCAGGCCAGGCGCGGGTCCTGTTGGCAATGTGTTCTTGAAGACACAAAGCACAGCTCTGTGGCAGTGCCACCTGCACTTCCAGCTGGAGGCGGCTGACCAGGAGCTCAGAGGGATGCCCGGCTCTGCAAGTGGTATGGCTCACCTGCCCCAGCCCAGCCGCTGGCTCTGGCCCCAGGGGGACACCCAGAGGCACCGTCTGAGGTGGCTGGGAGGCGGGATGGGCAGAGGCCAGGGCAGGAAGGGCTTATAGGCCAGGCCGATGGAGGTGAGGGGTGCTGCATTAGACAGTGGGTTGTAGGGCTGCGGGAGGCCAGCGAGGGTGGTAGGGCAGCAGATGTTTGAGTCTGTGACCCACCTGCTCCTGTTTCCTGGATGGGAAGTGGCTGGCGAGGCAGGTGTGCACGCCACTGCAGTGGACCTGAGAGTGAGGGCCTTGGGCCGTCATGACAGTTGCTGGAATGGGGCAAAGCACACGAGTGTGCCCCACAGAGAAGCTTAACCTCTGGCTGCTCGAGTGGAAGATGAGGCAGGGGCAGAGGAAGGATGGAGGGGACCTCATGACCTGCAGCCTTGGCCCTGAGCTGGCGTGGTCTGGGGCTGGAAGGGAGAGGACTGGGGGTGCTGGGAGGGGCCTCGGCGGGTGCGGAGGCAGGAAGCTGGCTCTGAGGCAGCCCTCGGAAGAGGTTGTCTGTGAGGGAACTCTGGTGGGGTCAGCAGGAGGGCAGGAATTCCAGTGGTTTCTGGTGACGTAGGAGGGAGATCACAATGGCATCGAAAGGGGGAACTTGGCGTTCTGAGCGGAGCGAGAGAGGAAGGAAGAACAGCGTGGGAACACGGGCATGGATCCTTGCAGAGAGCCAGAGCGACCCCTCCAAGTCTGGGGCAAGTTCTGACCATTGAGCCTTATCCTGAGCTAGGAGCATGGCCAGCCCGCAAGGTGGACAGAGGTGGATGCCCTGGCCCAGCAGGCATCCTCGGGAAGCTGGCACCTGTCTCCTGGCAGCCAGTCCTTCCCACAGACCCTGAACAGCTACCTTTGTTTCAGGAAATCTGTGACTCACCCCGGCTGTTCCCAGAAAACCCCCAGGATGGGCAGGTGAAGCAGGGACTTCTGGGGGATTGTTGGTTCCTGTGTGCCTGCGCCGCCCTGCAGCAGCATCGGCACCTCTTGGAGCAGGTATGGCACCCCGGCCAATGGCATGACCAGGGTGTGGGCTTGGAGTGGGTATGGTACCTGGCTGGTGATGTGAGCTCACTGGGGTGCAGGCTTGGAGCAGGTGTGGCCTGAGCTCACCGGCGTGCAGGCTTGGAGCAGGTACAGTGCCCTGGCTGGTAGCGTGACCTCACCAGGATGCAGGCTTGGAGCAGGTGTGGCCTGAGCTCACCGGGGTGCAGGCTTGGAGCAGGTGTGGCCTGAGCTCACCGGGGTGCAGGCTTGGAGCGGGTACGGTGCCCCTGCCAAAGGCAGGACCAGGGTGCAGCCGCTCTCTGCTCCCTGCCTGTTGCTATCTACAGCAGGTTCCCCTGCGAGCAGTGTCCAGGCCCCTGGGCCCCACGCGGCCTGTGATGCTTAGTGGGAAGTATGAGGGCACGAAGCCCAGACTGTCACCATCCTCAGGGGACATCCCACTGCTCTGCTGTCTTCTGAGCTCGAGTGGTGTGGGCAGAGCCCCGTGCTTGGAACAGGACAGGCCAGAGGGCACCTGACAGAGCTGACCTGTCTGCTGGCAGTGTGCTGCTGGCAGCCTCCCAGCCACAGGCCCTGGGCTCATCCTTCCCCAGCAGCAGGCGTTGGTGTGGGCAGCTGGGGCACCTCCACGAGGCGGTGGCCACTCAGGCAGCAGGTCCCAGCTCCTGGTGCTGTCCCTGGTAGCTTTGGCCTTTTTATAAACAAGAATGCGACAGGGAAGCAACAGGGCCACTGGGACCAGGGCCTGCGTGGTCCTGGGGCACCCTGGACCTGCCATTGGCAGGGGCAACCAGCTCTACTGGCCTGCTCGCTGGCCCTGCAGCATCCCATGTGTTATGGATTCAGGTTCATGCTTATTTGGGACATTAGGACATGGTGGGTAGCAACTCTGGGAGTTGTGTGGCCCCGCAGTCCTTGCACGACACGTCAGGAAACTTTGCCTGCTGTGGGTGAGCATGCTGTGAGCCCGGCTTCTGGCTGCCAGGCCTGGTGGAGCCCACGTGGGCAGCAGGTGCTGAGGGCCCCCCGCCAGCGCCAGGAGGCGCCTGTCTCATGCTTTCTTCCCTCTCCCATGCATGGTAGGTCGTCCCTCCAGGACAGCCGAGCTGGGCCGACGAGACCTACCGGGGTGCCTTCACCTGTCGCATCTGGCAGTGTGGACGCTGGGCGGAGGTGACCGTCGATGACCGTCTGCCTTGTCTTGCAGGGAGACTCTGCTTCTCCCGCTGCCGGAGGGAAGATGTGTTCTGGCTTCCCTTGCTGGAAAAGGTCTACGCCAAGTACGTGTGCCAAGCGCCTGGCCGGCCCTGGGCTTTAGAGGCCCTGTGGCACAGGGGTCGGCCTCAGGCTGGGACTGGGTGACCACATGGACGGGCCTAGGACCCCGCCTGCCACCTTCCACCCTCTCATCAAGTCAGCCTGGAAGCACTGCCTCCCCATCCTCCATGTCTGCCCCAGGCACACCACACTCACCCTGTATCTTGTGGCCACCGGGACAGGCAGCCTCTGCTTGTGCCTGCTGAGCGAGGCTGCGGTGAGGGCCACGCCCAGGGCACCGCGGGCTTCCGTGGGGAGAAGCGTGAGGAAGGGAAGCTTGCTGGCAGCATGGGGGATGCTGAGCCGTGTGTGAGTTCAGACACCTCACAAGGGTTTTCTGACAGAAACACCATTGTGGTCTCACGGGCAGCAGCACAAACTCACCTTTAACTCTGTCCCCTCAGGCCAGGCTGTGGCTCCAGCCCTGAGTGGTCAGCTCATGAGTCGGAAGGCACAGGCGTCTCGCTCGTAGGCTGTGCCTGTGGACGGCCATGGGCCGAGGCGCGCAGTGAGGCCGGCTGGTGGTGTGGGTGCCAGTGTGGGTGTGAGCAGGGGCAGGTGTGCACACTCCAGCTCTGCCTTGCACTGGGCTCAGGTGGGCTGCTGAGGGCACTGCGGAGGCCACAGGCCCTGGGAAGAGGGCACCTCGCCACATGGCACCTCACTCTGTGCTGCTTGTCCCAAACCCTAGGGTCCATGGGTCCTATGAACAACTATGGGCAGGGCAGGTGGCCGACGCACTGGTGGACCTCACTGGTGGCCTGGCAGAAAGGTGGGACCTGAAGGCCTTGGCAAGAGCTGGTGACCAGAAGGACAGGCCCGGTGGCCCAGAGCTGCGGAGTTGTGGGCGGCTGCTCGACCTCAAAGACAGGTGCCTGCTCAGCTGCTTGGTACTGAGACCCAGGCCAGGTAAGCTGGAAGGACACAGGGCCTGTGCCTGCTGCACACTTCAAGGGAGCCCTGTCCTCGGGGCCCTGGGTGTGCAGTGTCCCTTGTGTCCCTGTGATGGGGTGGACCCTGTCCTCGGGGCCCTGGGTGTGCGATGTCCCTCGTGTCCCTGTGATGGGGTGGACCCTGTCCTCGGGGCCCTGGGTGTGTGATGTCCCTCGTGTCCCTGTGATGGAGTGGACCCTGTCCTCGGGGCCCTGGGTGTGCGATGTTCCTCGTGTCCCTGTGATGGGGTGGACCCTGTCCTCGGGGCCCTGGGTGTGCAATGTCCCCCGTGTCCATCTTCTCTGGTGGAGGTGGTCCTTTCTTTCGTGGCCTCTTGCCTGGAGGAAAGCCTGTGTTGTGGCCCCGCTGCTGGGCTCTCTGCCCAGGAAGCAGTGGTTGCACAGCCTGGCCTGTGTGTTATCAGCTGGTGACCACACAAGGGCCACCCCATTGTTCACTTTCGTAACCTCATTAAAGTTTGTTAAAGAAAGATTTTCATGAAAGGAGAGACCACTGCAAGCTTCTTAGCACAGTTTTCCGTTTTTTTCCTGTAAATATCTGGAATATTTCTTTATATTGTTTATACTGTTTTTTTGTACTCATGGAACTTATCAACATCTTAATTGGTGAATGCACGTACTGTGGTTTTCTTCCTTTTTAAAGACGTTTATTTCTTTGTTTGAAGTAAATACTGGAGGGACTTCCTTTCCCTAGCCTGTTCCCCAGACAGTGGAGGTTGGGCCAGGCCAGTGCCAGGCCTTGCATCCATGTCTCCCATGTGGGTGGCAGGCTCCCTGCTACCTGGGCCGTTTTCTGCTGCTTTCCCAGTCGCCCTGGTAAGGGAGGGCAAGCCTGGGCCTGAGCTGGCACTCACGTGGGTGCCTGCCACTCAGCCAGCAGCTCGACTCACGGAGCCACATCCTCTTTGTGTTTTTGGTTTGTTTTAAATTTTTTATTTACTTATTTGAAAGACTCAGACAGGTCTTACACCCTCTGGTTTACTCTGCAAGTGCCTGCAGCATCCAGAACTGCACCAGACTAAAGCCACGAGCTCCATCCTGGTCTCCCACTGGACATGTCCCAGGTTCACACTGGAAGGTGGAGGCAGGCAGAGCTGACTGGAACCTAAAGCCACCGGAGGGTGCTGGAGGCCGGTCGGCAACTCAGTTGTTTTTGAAGATTGGTTTATTGAAAGTCAGTTTCCTGGATAGCTGCATCAGTCAGGAGCTCCATCCGGGTCTCCCACATGGGTGCAGGGACTCAAACACTTGGGCCATCCTCCACTGCTTTTCCAGTGCCTCAGCAGGGAGCTGGATGGGAAATGGAGCGGCTGGGACATGAACCAGGGCCCACATGGGATGCTAACGCTGCAGATGGCAGCTTTACAAGCTGTGCCCCAGTGTCTTACCTGGGGCACCAACCCCCAAACCTGCCATGGTTGTCCTGCTCCGGCACCTAATGCTGGCTGGTTAGAAGCATCATGGCTGTGAGTACCCCTGATTGTAGTTTCTTATTTAGAGTTGCTTTGCAAATGAAAGTCGGTCAAGGTTATGACCACCAAAGCTGACTGGAACATGCTAACCTTCATGCTGCCCCACACCTGATCAGGGCTCAGTAAAGGCCTGGTTCGCTGCAGGCAGACACTCCAGTGGGCCCCGGGTGTGCAGTGTCCCTCGTGACATTGCAAGGCATGCTCCTGCATCCTGCCACTGTTGCCCTGGGGGAGTGGTACTTTACTTGGCTCCTCGGGCTTTGGAGATGCTGCTGCTGGCAGCTGGTCACTGGTGCCCATGGCAGGACAGGGATGTGACTGGACCCCAGAGTGGCAGCTGTAGGGCAGCGTCCCAGCATATGTGCTCTGCGTGGGAGCTCTTATCAGCCGGGAAGGCACGGCCCCGTGTGTGCATGCTCTGGGTGGGAGCTCTTAGCCGGGAAGATACGGCCCCGTATGTGTGCTCTGCGTGGGCTCCAGGGTGCTGTATCTGAGCGTCTCCTCACACAGATGCCGGCGAGCTGGGCGAGTTCCACAGCCTGGTCATCTCGGACGTGCAGGAGCTCTGGGGCCAGAGCATTCGGGTGCTGCTGCTGCGTGTGTACAACACCTGGGGCCGACACTGCTGGCAGGGGCGCTGGAGAGAGGGGTGAGTGCCACCCACCCAGAGTGCCCTGGCCCAGGCTACCTGTCAGCCAGCGTGGCTGTGCCTAGCCAGGCCATGCAGCACCTTTTCATGGGCTCTGAAGTGATCTGGAGCCTGGAAACTCTTGGCGGGTGTAGACCCCAGACCCCAGCTGCCCCAGGCACCCCCTGTAGCTAAGCATCATGGGGCTGATGGGCACACGAGGTCCTGAGCCCCGGAGGGGGCCCTCCAACCCCACCCCGCTGAGATGGCCTCGTTGCAGGGGTGAGGGGTGGCGCCAGGTGGAGTCCGCACAAGAAGCCGAGCTGCTGTCCCAGCTCCAAGAAGGAGAGTTCTGGATGGAAGAGGATGAGTTCCTTAGCGAGTTTGATGAGCTCACCGTGGGCTACCCAGTCACCGCCGCTGGCCACCTGCAGAGCCTTCACACAGGTAGCGGGTGGGTTCAGCACAGCTGCCTGGTGCTGGTGGGGCCCCTGGGTGACCCTGGCACAGTCTGGCAGTGCTGAGGCCAGGCCAATGGTGACACTGCCATGTTCTTGTGCCAGAAAAGGTGCTGTGCCACACGCAGGCGCTGCCCGGGGCCTGGGTCAAGGGCCAGTCTGCTGGAGGTTGCCGGAACAACAGCAGCTTCCCCAGCAACCCCAAGTTCTGGCTGCGGGTCCTGGAGCCCAGTGAGGTGTATGTGGCCCTGCTGCAGAAGCGCGACAGGCGACCGGCGGACTGGGCGGGCCGGCACCGGGCACCTGCGGCCAGTGGCCTCACCTCACAGAGTTCCACCAGCCTTCCTGGCAAGGACTACCCAGCTGTGGGCCTGCACATCTGGAAGGTAATTGCACCCCAGCCTGGCCCCTCACAGCCCAAGGAGGCCTAGCAGGTCTCAGGGGCAGCCATGCTGGGACACAGGTGGCTGTGGGCTCCCAGTCTGCTCTGCTGCTCACTCCGCAGGCTGTTGCCCCAGCTGGCCACACATTCAGGACTGGTTCCTGAAATGGTTTCCTGGAAGGCCTAAGAGAGACAAAGAGAGACAGAGCAGGGCCATGGGGCTGGTGGCCGTGGTCAGGGCGGCGGTGCTGTTTGCTTGCTCACGGGCGTATTCGTTAGTTTGTGTGCCCCACTGGAGTGTGGTGGGCCCACCCCGTGGGCGCTGGAAAGCTCTGTGTGCAGCCGTATTGAGGGGACACAGCCCTGTCTGGTTGGATCTGGGACTGACAAGCTGGGCTTGTGGCCATTTCCAGCCAGCCCGTGAATGGAAGCGGTGACCAGCAGGCCAGGGTGCTCCAGCTGGGACCATGAGAGGCCGTGTCCTTAGGCAGGGTAAGAGGTCAGAGGTCAAGGACTGGTCACAGCCTCTGCTGAGTGCTGGCCTGCCCTTGGCAGGTGGAAAAGCAGCGAGTGAGCCTGCCCAGGGTGCTGTCTGTGCCCCCTGTGGCTGGTACCGCGTGCCACGCATATGACCGGGAGGTCCACGTGCACTGTGAGCTCTCGCCCGGCTACTACCTGGTGGTGCCCAGCACCTTCCTGAAGGGCGTCGCGGGGCAGTTCCTGCTGCGTGTCTTCTCCACCGGCAGAGTCTCCCTCAGGTGAGCGTGGGGCGGCTCCCGTGGTCCCAGGGTGGTGGTGGCCGTGACTGCAGCGCCCTCCTGTGGTATGTTTCTGGCAGTGCTGTCAGGCTTGTGGCCAAGAGTGCCAGCCCCGGGGCAGCAGTGGCCACCGAGTGGGAGACTGTGCGGCTTCAGGGTTCCTGGCGAATTGGCCAGACAGCAGGGGGCAGCAGGAACTTCGCCTCCTATCCCACCAACCCCCGCCTGCCTTTCTCTGTGCCCGCGGGAGCTGGCCCCCGCTGCGTGCGCATCACACTTCAGCAGTGCCGGCTCAGCACCAGCGACCTGCATCCCATCGGCTTCCACGTCTTTCAGGCAGGCGGGGCCGGGATGAGGGAGCTGGGCGGGGTTAGGGCGTGGAGACCCTTAATGTGCCTGTCAGGTGGCTGGCTGGCTATGATGCACCAGTGGCCCATCTGTTCACAGGGGACCCCAGGACCTGGGTGGTGGCTGGGGCTCCAAGCCGGGAGGAGCCCTGGGGTGGTGAGGGAGGGTGTGGCTGCCACTCAGCTCTGGCCCCTCTTCGTCCAGGTTCCAGCTGACAGTAATAGCAACGGCGACAGTGAGGCCCTGCCCACGGCCACGCCCCCACTGCTGCTGCTTCAGGAGCCACTGCTGAGCTGCGTGCCACACCGCTGCGCCCAGGACGTGAGCCGGCTCTGCCTGCTGTCTGCTGGGACCTACTGGGTGGTCCCATCCACCTACCTGCCAGACACAGAGGGGGCCTTCACGGTGACCATAGCAACTAGGATAGACAGGTGGGGGCCCAGCATCCATGCACACCTGCCGCCTCCCTGCATGTGAGCCTGGTGGGAGTGGGCAGGGATGACCGGAGTGCTATCTCCACAGGCGGCCCATTCACAGTAAGGAGACGCTGGAGAAGGTCCTCCAGGAGGTGCGTGTAGGCCCCAGCCTCACACATGGCTCCCCCTGAGCCCAGTGTCTGGGCTATGACCCCACGGGCAGCGCTTCTGGGGTCTGAGAGGCTGCGAGCAGACAAGGCCAGGGCTCGGGGTCTGCTCTCACAGGTCTCCTTTGTGGGTGTGATGAAGACCTGACTGGTGCCAGCCCAGGAGTCAAGGATCCGCGTTGCCAGCCTCATCACCCATGGCCCATGCAGACCAAGTGAAGCGCCTGGCCTGGACATGGGCAGCCCTGGTCGCAGCAAGGACAGGACCCAGACCGCTGGAGCATCCCCAGTCCTCTGGCTACACAGATGCCTCCCGTGGGGAAGCGGGGACCTGGCCAGGAGTCGTTTAGTGCTGCTTCTTGGTGGGGACGTTGTCAGGGTGAATGTTTATAAACGAACGCTGACACGGAGCGGTCTGTGGTCAGCCATGCTGCACGATGCCCAGGGTCACATTGCCTCCCGCCAGCTGCTGTGGGGCACAGCTGACCCTGAGCCTGGGCACACCCGGCAAGTGGGCAGTGGGGAGGGAAGGGGCGGCTTGGGAGACAGAAGGACCCAGAGAATGCCACTCCCTAGCTTTGTGGGCTGAGCCCCACAGAACACCGGATGTAGCCGTGGGGCCCGAGGCTGTGGCTGGTACCCGGTGGGGCGGCCTCACAGGGCCCCTTGGTGGTGTGTCTGGCCTGCCGTGTTCCTTGGTGGCTGGCACCCTAGGAACCTGCATGAGACGCTGTGGTCCTGCCAGCAATGCCCGTCCACTCCAGGCGTCTGTTGGTGGCAACCAGCCCCTCCCCCTGTGCTGCTCCTTCAGCCCCTTGCCCCAGGCTCCACCCCTCCCTGTGGTCCTGGCCTCGGCTTGGGGGGCAGCCACCCCAGTTCCACCGGCAGCTCTGCCCACTGTGATCCACATGCACTGACAGAGGCTTCCTCACTTGGGAAACCCTGCTGTGTGCCACGTGCGGTGCTGCCATGTGCCATACCTAGGGTGCAGACCATGGCGCCTGCAGCAAGCAGCTGGCCCCACAGGGCGGCCCCTAGGCCTGCAAGAACAGCTGTGACAGCAAGCCCCGTGGGCAGGCTCCCCACACTGCACTTCCCGCTGCCTGTGGGGGTCCCTGCACAGGCTCTAAGACGCCCGGGGCACGGGGCTTGCCAGGGTCGGCACTGTGAAGGAAGGACAGAGGAAGCTGACCCTGGCCGGAGAGCATGGCACTCGAGCAGCAGGGTCCTGCACGTGCGGATGCCAGGAGCCAGCACACCCGGGAGGAGCTGATGGCAGAAGCCGCAGGCTGGCCTGCCGAGAAGGAGGTCTGAGGACCCTATCGGAGGGACGCATGAGAGGCAAGCCAGTGGGGACACAGCCCTGCCTGCAGACCCGGAACCCCCACCAAATGAGTGGAGACTGGGGCACCCCATGTGCCCGGGGGTACACAGCCACCTGTGGGAGCCCACACAGCCATGAGCCCCAGGGAACGTCCCTACAGATCTCTCCACCCCACACTGGACATGGGGCTCATGGAGGAGACAGGTCATACTGTAATAGGCAACACGCCTGGGGTTGAGGATCAGAGCTGCCGGCATATGAGCTGTCTAGACCCTGCATGTGGTCACCGTGGGGGGCACAGGACACCCACCGCCCATGTGTGGTCACCGTGGGAGGCACAGAAGCACCCCTCCCTGTCCCTGTGTGGCCACTGAGGGCGTATTGCTGTCCTTGGGGAATTAGTCCTGCTCTGCTGCAGGGCCCATCCTTTGGCAGCCGGTCACCTTTCAGTGTCTGGGGTCCAGATCTGAAAACTGACTCAGGCACGATGAGGCCGAGACTGAGTGCCGAGGGGACCCAGCTGGCTGACCTTGGTACAGCTCCCATCACCCATCGCAGGCCCTCAGCCTCGCTGCTGTTTCCACCATCACCTCCTGGCCAAGGCGCTTCAGGGTTCTAACTCCATGGGCCTCAGCCAGCTGGGTCCTCCCTGGGCAGGCCTCATAGCCAGCTACCAGAAGGACAGCCCCATTGGTCCTTAACCCTCAGCCCCGTGGCCTGAGGTGACCCTCACCCTGTGGTGTGACCCCGTGGCCTGAGGTGACCCTCACCCTGTGATGTGGCCCCGTGGCCTGAGGTGACCCCCACCCTGTGATGTGGCCCCGTGGCCTGAGGTGACCCTCACCCTGTGGTGTGGCCCCGTGGCCTGAGGTGACCCTCACCCTGTGATGTCCTGTGGCCTGAGGTGACCCTCACCCTGTGATGTGGCCCGGTGGCCTGAGGGGACCCTCACCCTGTGGTGTGACCCCGTGGCCTGAGGTGACCCTCACCCTGTGTTGTGTCCCGGTGGCCTGAGGTGACCCTCACCCTGTGGTGTGACCCCGTGGCCTGAGGTGACCCTCACCCTGTGATGTGGCCCCGTGGCCTGAGGTGACCCTCACCCTGTGGTGTGACCCCGTGGCCTGAGGTGACCCTCACCCTATGATGTGGCCCGTGGCTTAGAGTTATGTGACCTTGGCCTCGTGGAAACATCCATTGATAGCTCCCACCAGGTGCTACCCCTCTCCCCCATTCAGCACAGGCTAGGGGCTTTTCCTGCATCGGGGGGCCTCCTGTTGACTTTGCTTCCTTCAGTTTCTGCCCCTCAGCCGAGGTCCTTGGAGCCCAGGCATGCTTGTTCCAACTTGTGCATGTGCCCCAGTGCACTGCTCCCTGGGCAGAGGGTGAGGCTGAGCTGCCTCTGTGCAGGAGGAGCTCCCAGGGAACTCAGGAGGAGGCCAGGCGGCTCCTCCCAGGGTCCCAGCAGAGACCCTTGGCACGGCAACCTGCTGGGCACAATGTGTGCCTGGGCCCATGGGGGTGGCCTGTCTGCCTCTGCCCCCAGCATATCCTGTCTGTGTGTGACCAGGCACTCCTCCAGCTGCCACGTGGGCATATCTGGGCTCTCTCCCATATGTGTGTCTCACTGCCCACTTCACTAGGCCCTCTGGGCACCTCGTGACTCAGCACCCGAGTGAATTCAGCAACCAAGGGGCCGTCACTGGCCCCGATGAGTGACCCAGTCCAGCCAAGCTGTCCACTCTCCTCTGGCCCTGGGGCAGTTTCAATAGCAAAGGCGAGGCTGAGACCAGTGGAAGCAGCTACTGGCCTGGGCTGAGAGGAGACCTCCACACTCCTGCGGACCGGGCAGGGCTGCCCGAGGGGTACAGTGGGCCAGCTGGCACCACTTCTCACGTGGCCCCGCACAGCGTCCACCAGGAGATGCTCTCACCCTTGGGCCTCGTGAAGGAGGACAGAAGCCAGTGCTGCCTGGGCCCCCGCTGGGCTCTGGCAGTGGCTACTCAGCACGCACCGCCCCCACCCCCCGGAGCTTGACACCTCAGCATCGAGACAGCCTGCACCTGCCCTGGTGCCCGCAAGTGCCTGCTGGCCCTGGGGGCCCGAGCCTCCCTCCCGTGCCGAGGGGTGACCGCCGCCACCCTGCAGCCTCTCTGGCTTGCAGCCATTCAGTCCATCACTCTCCCACTTTCCGCTTGTTTGCGGCGAGATGGATGGTTTACATGAAAACAGAGAAACCCAGCGTGTCTTTCCCCCCTCAGGATCCGGAGCCCTCCCCCAGCTGGGCGCCGGCCGGCCTCCAGGGATTGCTCTGTCTGGTGCTGGGAGTCGAGGACCAAAGGGCCGCCAGTTCCCAGTTCCCCCCCCTCCTAGCTGCCAGCTGTCCTCTCTGTGTGCTCTGTGGCAGGCATGAGGCATCCCTGGGTCCCTTTAGATGGACACACCCCACCTCCCAACACTGCTGTTTTGCAGGGGTGCAGCCCCCTGCTCCCTCAGAGTGGCCCCTGCAGCCTGTGTCCACACTTTCAGACTAGGACTGCCCTGAAAGAGAAAAGCTACTGCACCTGGCTCACTCCAACCCCATCCTTGGGCAGAGCACCCACAAGTCTCTAGAGCACCAATAGGCAGGGCCTGGCTGGCCCGTGGTGTCAGGGTGGGGTCCCTGCCCGTGTCCCCATGGGGTGGGGCCACTGCCCTGCCTGGTACTTGGCGGGAAGAGGCGTGCATGGCCTAGAACCCCTGGACAAGAAGGCGGGGCCGCTCCTGCCCTACCTCTTAGCAGACTTTGCCCTGCACCACATCAATCCCAGGGCACTTCCTGCTGTGGGTGTGGGCTGCTCTTCCCTGGTGGGATGGTGCCCTCCCCAGCCCAGCCCCCAGTGGCTTCCCCTCAGGGTCCTCTCCAGGCCCTCCCTTCCTGAGGCCGGCAGAGCTTCCCGGTGAGTACACATGGGGGTCTCCAGAGCGGGCCTGAGAAGCCCCTGAGCAGCCAGCCAGGGAGCCCACAGCCTCCAGGGAGCTTGGATCTAGGCTGGCGGCCCACCCAGCCAGCCGGCACTGGGGTTCCCACCCGCCCCAGCCACACCTGCTGCATCGCAGCAGTGTCCTCCTTGAGCCAGCTGGGCCTGCCAGACTGGCTGGAGGTGGCTCCTGGGGAGCTGAGCCCGAGGCTCCTTTGGGGACACCCAGGTCCTGGCCAGCATGCAGACCAGGCCTGTCCTCTACAGCCAGGGAAAGGCTGTGCTGTGCTCCAGGTCCTGGGACTGCTCAGGCATCATGCTGGGCCACTGTGACACCGGGCCCTCACCCTGTGTCCCAGCTCATCCCCGTCCTATGAGATCCATGAGGCCACGGACCTGCTGGGGAACAGCACGTCCTCCAGGAAGACCACAGAGTTTCTGAGCAGGAGCTGGCAAGCCAAGAGGGCTGAGTATGCAGCCGAGTTCTCCCGGCCACCCTGTCCCCCAGCCATGAGGCCCACCTGTCCACAGGTAACTGTCTGCCAATGAGGTCACAGTGGGCACATTGCGCAGTTGAGGGTGTCCTGGCCAGGGGTAGGCAGGCCAGGGCAGGGGCTGGGCACCTCAGGGAGTGGCCAGAGGCCTCTGTGCCAGTGTGGAGGGCAATACAAGCCATTGCCCTGTTGGAATGTGGATCTTTTGTGCTGGACGAGAGGAAATTGTTGCATGGTATAAGACAAAACTGACCAGTGTGTTTGAAAACTCGTGGAGGTGGAGGACTGAACACAGCCCTCCAGGTGGGAAGCTGGCCAGGTGTGAGCGTTGAGGGCTGGGGCCAGGCTGGGATACACCCAGCAGGGAGGCCCGGCGGGAGGAGATGACTCAGACAAGTTCAGGAGGTAACCTGGAGACACCCCTCCTCCAGGAGTATGGCCCTTCTCCAGTTCCAGCAAAGCCTTGGGGCTTTGAACATGTAACACTTATTTCCAAGCTGTCGGTGGGTCCCGTTCAGAAATGCATGACTAAGATGCATCGACGTTGCTAACTCCCTCACCAGCCGATGGGTTTCTGGTTCTCGTTGGTTTTGCTAGGTTCCTTAGGGTGTCTTCTCCAGGCTCAGTAGGGTCGT